GCCGGGCCCGTGCCGGGCCTCCCCGGCCCGTGCCCGGCCCGTGCCCGGGGCCCGTGCCGAGTGCCGGGCCCGTGCCGGGCCGCGTGGCCCGTGCCCGGCCCGTGCCCGGGGGCCCGTGCCGAGTGCCGTGCCGCGTGCCGGGCCCGTGCCGGGCCGCGTGCCCTGAGCGCATTTACCGTGCCGGAACCCCCGTGCCCGCCGTCCCCGCCCCCCGTCCCGGGGCCGGACCGTCGCGCAGGGGCCCGTTCGTTACGGGATCGCGCGCGGCCGCGCGCGGTCTTCGCGGCCGCCCTAGCACGGGTCGTTGATGTCGGCGACGAGGGCGTCAAAGGCGGCGAAGACGTCCTTCTTCGCGTAGCAGAGCGTGCCGCCGCCGCGGGCCGCCTGGCTGTACTGGCGGTTGATGTCGCCGACGCAGGCCGCGCCCGCGGACGCGGCGGACACGGCCCACTTGCTGTGGTCCTGGGTCTCGAGCCAGGACGCGCCCGCGCACGTCACGTTGTGCACGTCCTCGACGTCCTCGTCGAAGCCGGCGCTCTTGCAGGACGACGGGATCTTGTTCTTCAGCTCGCCGTTCATCCAGGACTCGACGCGGAGGGCGCCGAGGTCCGGCGCGACGACGTCCTCGTAGAGCTCGCAGTCGCACGCGGCCGACTTCGCGTAGTGCGTGAACTCGCGCGAGTCGACCTAGACGAACGTCGTCGACGCGACGTCGCGACGTGGTGCTCTCTGAAATGACCTCGCCGAGAGCCAACGATGCGTCCGAACATCGGCCGACACGGCGTCGATGCGAGCGAGCGCGGTGCGACAGGGTCGCCGGTCCGGCGCGGGCGTTTCCGGCGCGGGCGCCGACGGTCGAGAAGGTCTTCGTCGACGACTTCGCCGTCGACTTGACGTCGGCCAGGGTCGCGTTGAAGGACGGCGCGGCCGCGGCGAGGTCGTCGGACACGGACGAGTCGTAGTGCTGGGGCCAGTGGAGCATCAATTGCGCGCCGACGTCCTCGAGCTTGGAGGTGTCGAGCGTGAGGCACACGAAACTCTGGCCGTAGGTCGTGTCCGGCAGGCCGCCGTAGCCCTTGGACCGGCGGTCCGGGTAGCGCGGCAGCGAGTGGATGAGCCAGAAGCCCTGGTCGCCGTCGAAGAGCACGGCGCCCTTGCTGTGGCCGCGCGTCTCGCTCTTCGTGCCCTCGTCGGTCTCGTCGTTGTAGAGCGTGAAGGCGTGGCTCGACGGGAGCGTCCCGTAGATCTGCTTGAGGGTGCGCACGACGGCGTTGGACGACGAGTCGAAGGAGTTCGCCGCCTTGAACTCGTCGTCGCCGTCGAGCAGGAGGTAGGCGTCGCTCCCGGCGTTGCCTTTCAGGACGTAGAAGTGGTCCACGGCGTCGCCCGACTCGTCGAGGCACGAGAACTTGGCCGCCGCACCCACAACCAAAAGCAACAGCCAGAAGGACCGAGACCCTGCGGCCGAAAGCAACAGCCAGAAGGACCGAGACATGCTCGGGCTGCCCCAAAAGGCCGAAGCTGCCGATGCAAACATGCGGCGATGTTGTACCAGAGCCCGAAGCCTCGAAGACGCGCTCCACCAGCCAGAGCGCGAACTGCGCGTCCTGAAAACCGAGGTCCCGCCGCGCCTCGGCGCCGCTCGCGCCTTCCGAGGAGCATGGCCGACGCCGTCGAGGTGGAGGTGAAGGTCGACGGCGACGAACTCCACAACGCGACGGGCCTCACGCCGCGCTTCTCCGCGTCGACGGCGCTGCTGCCCGAGGGCGGCCCGCCGCCGACGCTGACGCTCCCCGCGGCCATGAAGCGCGTCCACAGCGTCGGGGGCCTGGCCGAACCGCCCAAGACGGCGAGGCTCGCGGGCGACGCCGACGCGCCGACGGCGCGGTCGCGCGCCGGGAGCCGCGCCGACGAGGCCGCGCCGCCGCCCGCCGCGGCGCCCGCCGACGCGTCCGAGGACGCGACGCGGACGGGCTTCACGCCGGAGAAGGCGCCGCCGCCGGAGGCGGCGCCCCCGGCGAGCAGCGACGACGACGACGACAGCAGCGACGACGACGCGCGCGCGCTCGCGTGGCTCCAGCGCCAGAAGCGGCCGAGCGCCGCGAGCGGCTCCCGGCCGAGCGCCGCGTCGTCCGGCCGCCGGTCGTCGGCGTCGCGCCGCGACTCCGCGACGCCCTTCGCGGCGCCGCCGGCGCCGCCCGCGCCGTCGTCGCCGGTGCTGGCCGGCTTCGAGCGCCGGGCGCGCGAGTCCGTCTCCGACCGCAAGGCGCGCGCCGCGGAGAGGCCGCCCGCGCCCGCGCCGCCGCCGGCGCCGGCGCCGGCGGACGACGACGACGACGGCGGCTTCGACGACCTCCACGCGCTCCACAAGGAGGCGCGGAAGCGCGACAAGCACTCGCACAACCACGGCGTCGCGAGCGCGCGGTCCATGGCCATCGCGAAGCGCCAGGGCCAGCGCGCCGCGCGCGCGGCCGGCCCGCCGTCCTGAAACCCGCCCCCCCGCCCGTCGCCCGCTCTTAGATCCCGCTCCCGACCTCGAACTCGTCCTTGGGGTCGTTCTTGAGGAGGTTGACGACCATGGTCGCGACGTCGCCCTCGACCTGCTTCGTCACGGCCTTGAGGCCGCCCTCCTGGATGCTCTTCAGCGGGATGGGCACCCAGCGCGGCACGTTGAACGACGCCTCGACCGTCGCGTCGCACGTGAGCTCGCCGTCGGCCACGGAGAAGCGCGAGCTCGACGTCGTGTCCATGATCTCGGCGACGGCGACGACGATGCGCGTCGCCCACGACGGGCCCGTGGCCTCCATGCGCTGGTCGTCGAGGCGCACCGTGACGGCGCCGCCGTCGCGCTCGCACGTGAAGGTCATGACGGGCTCGAGCTGCACGAGCGGGAACGACGCGGACTTGACGCGGGCCTCGAAGCGGCCGCCGCCGAGGTCCTTCGTGCCGGAGATGGCGTCGTTCGCAGCGACGATGGCCTCGTTGACGGCGGCGCTCCCGCCCTCGAACCAGGCCGCGAAGGTCGGGCTCGCCGCGACGGACTTGGTCGACTGGACGCTCCACCTGACCGTGCGCAGCGCCAGCGCCGGCGCCGCCAGCAGGGCGACGGCGAGGCGGAGATATCGCGCGCTCATTACGTGGCTCAACGTTGACCTCGTGTTGACAAAGGCAAGAATTCCCGCTCGACCGCACGGCCATGGCGGCCATCCAGAGGTTCGGGCTGCTCCTCGTCGCCCCCGCCGTCGCCGCGGCGCCGCCCGACTTCGCGGCGGCGGCCGGCGGCTGCACCGTCGGCGACTGCGCCGAGGGCTACGGGCGCTTCGACATGCCCACGGGCGGCTCCTACGAGGGCGACTTCGCCGCCGGCAAGTCCCACGGCTTCGGCATCCTGGAGTACCACACGGGCGCGATCTACCGCGGCGCCTTCGTCGAGGGCCGGCGCGAGGGCTACGGGTCCTACGTCTTCGAGGACGGCGCGACCTTCGACGGCGAGTACGTCGGCGACCGCATCTTCGGCTACGGCGCGATCACGAAAAAGGACGCGGACGGCGCCGTCGAGCTCTACGAGGGCGAGGCGGCGGTCAACGCGGCCATGGGCATCGGCCGCTTCCGGTTCCGCGACGGCGCGACCTACGAGGGCGAGGTCGTCGCGGGCAAGCCCCGCGCTGTGTGGAAATCAACCAGTGAGCTGGGACGTCGGGGCCAAACTTCAGAATTCTCTAGCTCGGTCAAATCGAAGTCGATTCGGCTGATTTTTGGACGAATCGATTGCTCTCAGCGAGTTCTCGAAGCACGGCGGAAGTGCTCGTGTCAAAACATTCGAATACGCGCACATTGAAGTCGGGTTGAAGATTTGATTTCCACACAGGCCCCACGGCGACGGCCGCTACTACCGCGCGGACGAGTTCGAGTTCAAGGGCCAGCGCGTCCCGCGGCGCCCGGCGGCGCGCGCGCCATCGCGCCCGCGGACCGCGCGCGCGCGCAGGTTCGTCGACGGCGCGCCCAAGGGCTTCGGCCGGGGCTTCGTGTCCTTCGTCGACGCGAAGCAAGGCCAGGCGCGCCGCCGCGCGGGAGCACGGCCCCGTCCGGCGAAAACTTCTCGGGACGTCGCTTTGGCTCGACTTTTGGACGCATTGGGTGCTCTCGTCGAGCTCTTCCCAGAGAGCGAAACAGCGCATAGTCGCGTGTCCCGCGCAGGTGCTCCGCGAGCTCGAGGGCGAGTTCGACGGCCTCGCGCTCGTCGACGACGACGAGGAGGCGGGCGAGGCCGCGGCCAAGGTCGGCGCGTCCGCGGCCAAGGTCGCGCGCGAGGCCGCGGAGGAGGGCCGCGCCGCCGCGGACGCCGCGCGGCGGCAGGCCGACGAGATCGCGGGCCTCGTCGCGGCCGAGCGCGCGGCGCGCAAGGGCGCGGACGACGCGCGCGCCGCGGACGTCGCCGCGCTCGCCGCGGCCCAGGCCGCGGAGATCGCGGCCATGAAGGCGCGCGCCGACCTCTAAACACGCCGTCGGGTGAATTCTCTAGCGCCCCGGCCGCGGCGCGCCGGCGGGGGCGGCCGCGTCGCCGCGACGGGGGTGGGGGGGGCGGGGGGGGGGGGGGTGCAATGGGGCCTAACAAGTGGGGGCGAGGACGTCGAAGATGTCCGCGGGCTCGACGAGGGCGACGCCCGCGGGGACGTCGCCGCACTCGGCCCACGCGTCCGCGGCCTCGTCGTCGCCGGGCGCGCCGAGGTCCGGCATGTCGAACATCTGGAGGTCGTCGTGGGGGTCGACGGGCGCGACGAGGTCGAAGGACTCGAGGGCGTAGGACCAGGCCGACATGAGGTGGCCCACGTCCTCGGCCGCCTTGGCCTCGGCGGCGGGGAGGAAGTAGCCGTCGTCGTCGCCGCGCGACGTCCCGGCGCCGAGGTCGTCGCTGAGGTCGCTGAGGGAGTCGTCGGAGGACGCCGAGGACCCGGCGCGCGTCGCGCCGTCGTCGTTTCCCGCGCGCCGCGCGCGCTTCTTCGCCGGCGGCCGCGCGCCCTTGGCGCCGCCGCCGGCGGCGCGCTTCGCGCGCGGCGGCGGCCGGTTGTAGGCGCCCTCGAGGAAGGCCTTCTCGAGGGCCGCGAGGGCCGCGAGCTCCGCGCTCGCGTCCTCGCCCTCGGCGGCCTTGCGCACGTAGATCTGCTTCCCGAGGCACTTCTTCCCCGCGAACTTCTTCGAGATGCGCATCGTCGAGCAGTTGAGCTTCTTGCTCAGGAAGGCGCGGAGCGTCGTGCCGTTCTCGAGCCTGCGGGGGGAGGCGCGGCGTGACGCGCGGCGAGGAGGAGAAACGGCGTAGTCTGGGCGCGGGCGGCGCGCGAGGGAAGCAGGCCGGCGTCGAAGTTCTGGATGAGCCGCGCGGTGAAGGCCTCCTCCTCGGCGCTCCACTTGCCGCAGCGCCGCGGCGTCGCCGCCGACGACTCGCTGTCGCTCTCCGAGGCGCTCACGACCGCCGCCTTCTCCTCGGCAACTGCCGTTGCAGCATCGCTGGGAGCGGCCGACGTTTCGTTCTTCGCCGGCGCCTCCGCCGGGGGCGCCGCCTCCGCGGGGGCACAGGGGTTGCAGGCGGTCGCCTGGGACGTCTGCGCGAACTTGAACGTGCTCGTGGTGGCCGCGGGCGGAGCCGTCGCTGCCATATCGGACATTCTGTGCTGTCCTTGGTCTCGCTAGTTTTGGGACTGACATCAGTCCAGCCAGCGTCAACGTCTACCTCAAGTGCTAATTCCCCCGCGCGGCCCGGCGCGGCCCCGTCCGGCGCGTCGCGCGCCCCGACGCCGCCCACCCGCGCGCGGCCGACCACGGTGCGACCGCTCGTCGTCCTACGGCGGGGAACGGACCGGATCCGGGCCCGCGGCGGCGCGCGGCTGCGCGCGCGCGGACCCCCTTACTGAGTCATAACGATATCGGCGAATCAAACTTGGCCCAAACTTACACCTTTTAGGATATAGAAACCGATTTACAGAATTTAGAAATGGCCTTCAACTTCAACAGCGAGTCGGCGCGTTGGGGGGAAGACCACCAAAGCCGAGGGCTGCCTTTTTGCCACAGGAGCTTGTCCGCGCGTGGGCGTGTTGTTGTCGGGCTCGAGTGCTGAAGCTCGGCGCGTTGTTGTCGGGCTCGAGTGCTGAAGCTTGGCGCGTTGTTGTCGGTCTCGAGCGCTGAAGCTTGGCGCGTGGTTGTCGGGCTCGAGTGCGGAAGGCCAGCGCAGTGGTATCGGGCTCGACGCAGTGGTGTCGGGCTCGCGCGCTGAAGCTCGGCGCGTTGTTGTCGGTCTCGAGCGCTGACGGACTGGGCAGCGTTGTCGGCCTCGGGCGGGTTCCTGCGCAAAATGACGCGCCTCCTGCTGCTCCTCTCGTGCGCCGGCGCGTTGCGCGCGCCCGCGCGGCGCGCCGTCCGCGCGCCCCTCCCGCCGGCGTCGTCCGTCGCCGGGGCCTGGCGCGCGCGGTCCGCCGCGGACCCGCGGTTCCGCGAAAAGCTCGCGCTCGAGGGCTGCCTCGCGGCCGCGCTGCAGGCCGCGGCCGAGGCCCAGCGGCGCCGGGGCGCCTTCGCGCGCGAGGCCGACTACGTCGTCGCGGGCGTGCTCACGGCCGTCGCGGGCAAGCTCGCGGCGTCGTTCCAGGCCGCGCCGTCCGACGGCGCCGTGACGAACGCGTTCCAGCGCGGCGCGAGCCCGCGCCGCCGCGTCGCGGCCGTCGCGTCGCCGGCGCCGCGGCTCTTCGCCGTCGGCTTCCTCGCCGCGGCCTTCGGCTACGGCGCGGCGGCGGCGCTCGCGGCGCTCCGCGCGCGCCTCGGCGTCGCCGCGCCCGCGGCCGCGCCGCCGGCCGTGCCCATCTGGGCCGCGGCGGTCTACACGGGCTGCTTCGTCGCGGTCGTGTCCAACCTGTCCTACCAGGTCCTCCAGGGCCTCGTGGAACACCGCCTCGTCGAGCCCGCGACGGCGGGCCGCCCGCGCGCGCGCGCGTGTCTCCTCTTCGCGGGCCGGTCGCTCCGGTCCCTCGCCGCGTCGGGCCTCGCCATCCGGGGGATGCAGGCGCTCGGTCTCCAAGCCGTAAGCTGACGTGTTACGCCGAGGGGGCCACGCGGACGAGGAGCTTGCCGCAGTGGCCGCCGGAGAAGAGCTTGACGAGCGCGCCCGGGAACGCGTCGAGGCCCTCCTCGATCTGCTCGTGGACGACGACCTTGCCGCGCCAGTGGTACCAGCACAGGTTGAAGAGCGCGAGGGGGATGGACGAGAAGTAGTGCATGACGTTGAAGCCCGCCATCGTCGAGCTCTTCTCCGAGAGCTTGAGGTACGACGACGGCCCGACGACGGCGCCGCCCTGGCCCTTGTCGTCGCGGCCCGTGTTGAGGTTGCCGGAGTACTGCGACGCCGCGCCGCAGACGACGACGCGGCTGCGCATGTTGATGCGGTCGAGCGCGACCCGCAGCGTGTCGCCGCCCGCGTTGTCGAGGAAGAAGTCGATGCCGTCCGGGCACGCCGCGTCGAGGTCGTCGGCGAAGGTCGGCGACTTGTAGTCGACGGCCGCGTCCGCGCCGAGCCGCTCCGTGACGAAGGCGCACTTTTTGGGCCCGCCGGCGACGCCGACGACCCGCGCGCCCGTCGTCTTCAGCAGCTGGACGGCGATGGAGCCCACGGCGCCGCCCGCCGCGGACACGAGCGCCGTCTCGCCCCCGCGCGGCGGCGCGAGCACCTTGAAGCACCCGACGTAGGACGCGACGCCCGTCGCGACGGACAGGAGCCCGAGGCTCGCCGTCTCCGGGACGCCCGGGAAGCCCATGCACGGCATGAAGCCCTCCATGCCCATGGTGCCCACGGCGTGGGTCTGCGCCTTGCACATGCCCATCACGCGCTTGCCCACGTGCTTCTTCGCGTCGTCGCCCGCGGCCACGACGGTGCCGTAGCCGAGCGCGGGCAGCGGGTCGCCGAGTTCGATGGCGCCGTGGTACGCCTCGGCGTCGAGCATCGTCCGGATGAACGCGTCGACGCTCAGCAGCTCGACCTTTACGCAGACCTCGTCCGGCGCGAGCGCCGGCACGGGCGCCGTCTCCTTCTTGCAATCCTGGTCCGCGTCGAAGGCGCGCTGCCCGGGCCGCTGCGCGAGCACCCAGCGCGTGTTCACGAGGTCCGTCGCGGCCATGGCGAGCGACAGGAGCAGCAGCAACGACGACAAGGGCATGCACGAGGCCGTCTGACACAGCCACACAGCCTTGCCCCCGACGCCGCGGAAGATGATGTACTCACCTTGAACTTCAAGTTGAAGGGAGCGCTCGCCGCGGTTTAACATATCCCGCCGGCGGGATATGTTGCAACGACGCACTCAGGTTCAAGGTTCAAAAAAAGAAGCGCGCGCCCTACTCGACCCGGGACCGGTTCGCGAAGTAGCGGCACGCGGGGCCGTCGAGGAGGCAGTGGCGGGGCACTTCGAAGAGGCCGTAGTCGACGTCGTCAGAGACGGCCCAGTCGCGGAAGACCTGGCGCACGCCGTAGGGCCCGTAGAGCCGGAGCGGGAGCCCGTAGCTCGGCGAGCGCTCGTCCGCGTCGACGAGGAAGTGGAACGCCCACTTCATGTAGTGGTCCGCGACCGCGCGCCGGCCCGAGCCGTCGTCGAGCGACACGTTCACGCGGCCGAGGTAGGCGAGCCCGCCCGCGTCGCCCGGCAGGTCGCGCCGCGCGTCGTAGGGGTCGAGCGGCGCGAAGGCGTCGAGGTGCATGACGCCCGCGATGGCCGGGACGCAGACGCACTTGCTCTCGGACACGGTGACCATGGCGCCCGCGTCGCCGGCGTCGCGCATCGCCGCCGTCTGCAGGTAGATCTGCGCCGCCGACGAGAAGCTGTAGCGGTAGCGCATGACCGAGTCGTCGCGCTCCCAGCCGAGCATGAGCGTCGCGCTGAGGTTCTCGTAGGTGCCTGTGTGGAAATCAAATCTTCAACCCGACTTCAATATGTGCGTAATTGAACGGATTGCGCCGGACTCTTCGGCTCTGCTTCGAGAACTCGACGAGAGCAATCGATTCGTCCAAAAATCAGCCGAATCGACTTCGATTTGATCGAGATAGAGAGTTCTGAAGTTTGGTGGGGACCCCCCAAACCAGTGGTTGATTTTCACACAGGTAGGCGCCGCCGGGCTTCGGGATCGCCGCGACGGGCGACCGCGTGTCGCCGGCGAGCGCTGCGGTCGCCGCGCGGGGGTAGCGCGCGACGACGGGCGCCGCGGAGACGCCGACGACGTCGCAGGGCATCGGCGCGAAGCCGTCGACGCCGTCGCCGTCGCGCCGGCCGCCGAGGCCGTCGCAGGGCCCGCAGGGCGGGTCGTTCTGGTAGTCGCAGGACCGGAGCCGCTCGCGGCCCGGGTCCGGCCCGTAGGCGGGCGGCGGCGGCGGCAGCGTCGCGTTGGCCCACTCGGCGCGGATCTCGCCCGTGTGGCACTGCTGGCACGACACCTGCGCGTCCCGCTCGCGCCGCGCCGCCGGCGAGGGCGCGCCGCGCGGCTCGGCCTCCGGGAGCAGCGGGAGCGCGAGCGTCTCGAGGAGCTCGCGCCGCGCCGCGGCGCCGACGTGGTGCGCGAGCCACATGGCGACCTCGTGGCAGAGGCCGTCGCGGAGCGCGGCGCGGTCGTCGGCCGTCGCCGGCGCGAGGCCCGCCGCGTGCGCCTCGAAGGCGGCCGCGTCGCCGAAGCGCGGCGCGCGGCCGTCGCCCGGCGCGTAGAGCGCCGCGAGCGCCGCGTCCCGCGATCGGAAGACCGCGGCGCCGACGCCGACGAGCTCCTCGTAGGCGAAGGACTCGCAGGGCCGGAAGTTCGGCGACAGGCGCCGCAGATGCCCGTTGAGCGCCGACGACATGGACGCGAAGTCGTGGCCGCGAAACTCGGGCCCGGGCGTCCGCCGGAGGGCGCGCTCCACGTCCGCGGGGTCCGGCGATGCGACGACGGCGGCGCTGATGAGCGCCACAAATCGAGCACAAGCCGGCTGCCCAGCGCTGCGGCTCGATGCAGTTCATGGTGAAGTTGCAAAAGGCTGCCTCAGCCCTCTGGCCTTGTCTCCCCCCCCAACGCGCTCGACTCCCCTCAAGTTAGGGCCCTAGCCGAAGGGGTTGGCCTTGGCGAGGACGGCGAGGGCCGGGTCGTCCTCCTTGGCCTTGGCGAGCGCCTCGGACGTGAACGTGAACCGCGCCTTGTTCTCCTTCATCTTCCGGCGGAAGTTGTGGTCCTTCATGCGCTTCGCGAAGTGCAGCACGGCGAACTGGACCATGAAGGCGGACGCCTCCTGGCCGAGGGCGTTGAGCACCTGCTTGGCCTTGGCCTTGCCCGGGTGCGAGTCGAGCTTGGAGATGCGGAGGACCGTCTTCATCGCCGTGCTCCGGACGACGTCGTTCTTCTCCTCCGCGCTCGCCGCGGCCAGGATGTTCGCCAGCGTGCGCATGAGGTCCGCGCCGTAGCCCTCGGCGTGCGTGAAGCACGGCGGGATGAGCTTGAGCAGGATGTCGAGCGCGCCGAGGTTAATTAAAAGCCGCCGCGTGCCCTCGACGTCGGAGCACCTCGTAATCAGGCGCATGACGGGCTCCTCGTTCTCCGGGATGAACGCCAGGGCCACGAGCTCGCGCACGAGGTTCGCCTGGCTCAGGAGGTGCGTCAGGTCCTTGAAGTCGGAGATGGCCGCGATCGCGTGCGCGGCCGACGACTTCTGGTCGAGGTCCGCGCCCGCGAGCTGGGCCTCGACGGCGTGGAGCGCGCCCTGGGCCGCGAGCGCGTGGACGTGCTTCCGCGCGCCGGGCAGCGTGCGGATCACGAGCGTCAACCGCCGCACCATGAAGGACACGGTCCTCCCGATGCGGCGGTCGCGGCGGAACGTCGTCATCGACGCCTGGAGCACGTGCATGAGGATCTGGGACTGGATGAGGCGCTCGCAGCAGTCCGGGCTGTGCGTGAGCTCGTTGACGATGGACACGCAGTGGCGCATGATCTGCTGCGGCGGGCTGTGGCGCTGCGTGATCGCGCGCGTCGCGTCCGCCGCGCCGCCGCCGGAGCCCCAGGTCCGCTTGCCGTCGTCGGGCCGCGGCGCGCTCGACGCCGCCGTCGAGCCGAGGCTCGAGTCCTCGTCGCCGCCGACGTCGAGCGCGCCGAGCACGGACAGCGACGCGAGGCCGAAGCGCGCCGGCAGGTCCACGAAGACGGCCTTGGCGATGACCTCCAGCAAACCCTCCTCGAGCATGCGGTGGTGGTTCGCCGGCTCCGACGCCAGGCTCAGCTCGCACTTGAAGATCTTCGCCAGCGTCTCCAGCGGCATGTGCTGCGTCTTCAGCTTCCGCAGCAGCACGAGCGACACGTTGCTCCGCACTAAAGGCTGCCGCACGGACGGCACGGACGCGAGCGCGCAGAAGAAGTCGACGAGCGACATCTCCACGGCCTCCTCCTTGTCCAGGAATTCGCGCCGGAGCATGAGCAGGCCCAGCGTGATGACGTGGTTGTCGAAGAGCATCTCGCGCCGCTCGATCGTCCGCGCGATCGTCGACACGACGGCCGCGGCCATGCGCCGGATGTCGTCGTTCTTGTTCTGGATCAACGCGAAGAGGTGGCGCAGCCCCCCCTTGCCGACGACCGTCGCGTTCGCCGCCCGCGACTGGCACAGGTTCTGGAGCACGGACAGGCTGTGCCGCTTCACGGACTTGTAGCTCCCCTGCATCATGCGGAAGATGACGTCGAGCCCCCGCGGGTTGATCAGGAACCGCTCGTTGATCTCGCGCACCTTGACGATCTGCGCCAGCGCCAGCGTCGCGTCGCGGATGCACTCGCCGTCCGTCCGCGCGTTCCGGGAGCCGTCGCCGATGAGCGCGAGGACCGCGCCGAGCGTACCCGCGCGCGCCATCATGGACAGGTTGTCGCTGTTCATGGACAGCGCCGCCAGCGCCGCCGCCGTGTCCCGCCGCACCTCGACGAAGTTGGACCAGTAGGCCAGATCGATGAGGGGGCCGAGCATGTCCGGCGACAGCGGGTCGATGTGGTAGTCGCGCTTCAGCGGGGCCATGTAGTTGGGCTGCTTCAGGTTCGGCTCGCTGCTGCTCCGCTCGTACTGGCGGCTCCCAGGCCGCCGCCCGGCGAGGGAGATCATGGCGCCGCACAGGCCGAGGGCGCTCGGCGCCCGCGGTGAGAGAGCGGAGAGGCGCGCCCCAGACGCCGCCGCGGCGCTGGAGCCGAGGATACCTCCATGGCGCTGCAGACTACAAGGACGCGCGCCCCGGGGGGCAGCCCAGCGCTTCAAAGCGCCCGCTCGAACGCGACCGCAGCGCTGCCCCATGGCGTCGCTCACGGCGCACCTCGGCGACGGCGACCGGGCCCAGCTCAAGGCCTGGTTCGCGGCGCAGAAGAAGCGCGCCGCGAAGCTGCCCCCGCTGGCCTTCCCCCTGAGCGCCGCGGACGTCTTCGGCGCGCCCGCGGGGACGACGGGCGGCGCGCTGGGCGTCGACTTCGTCACGGCCCAGAAGGACTCGACGAAGGTGGACCTCGGGAGCGAGCTGCCCGCGATCCCCGGCCGGCCCCGGCTCCCGACGCTCAAGCTCGCCCAGCGCATGGGCGAGGGCGGCATCGGCGCGGTGGTCTGGAACTGCGGCCGCGCGTTATGCCACGCGCTCCCGCGGCTCCCGGAGCTCGCGAACGGCCGCTTCGCCGACGCCTACACGTCCGTCTTAGAACTCGGCTGCGGCACGGGCCTCGTGGGGCTCGCCTGCTGGCTCCGGGGCGCGGGCCAGGGCGGGAAACGGGCGCGACGTGCCCGAGGCTCCTCTCTCGGCCGCGTTCCACTCGTTTCGGCTGATTTTTGGACGAGCGATCAGCTCTCGGAGCGGTCTCGAAGCGTGGATGCTGTTTCCGGAGCGCGCGCGCGGGGAACGCTCGCGTTGAAGCGACGTTGCATCGCCCTTTCCCGCCCAGGCGCGGGCTCGGTCGCGCTCACGGACCTCGCGTCCATCGCGCCGCTCGCGCGGGAGAACGCGCTGGCCTGCGTCGGCGCCGACGGGGCCCTGCCGCCGGGCCTCGCCGTCGAGGCCCTGGCCTGGGGCGACGCGCCGCCGCCCGGCGTCGCCGCGCGCGCGCCCTTCGACGTCGTCTTCGGCAGCGACTGCCTCTACGACGCCAAGGTGCTGCCCCAGCTCCTCGCGACGCTCCTCGCGACGACGGGGCCCGCCTCCGTCGTCTACCTCGCCTACAAGCGCCGCGTCGACGAGCGCGAGGCGCCCTTCTTCGCGCTCCTCGAGGCCCACTTTGCGTCCGTGGCCTTCTCCGAGGCGTCGGAGGTGCCCGAGGAGTGGCGCGGCACGGGGCTCCACATCTGCCGCCTCGCCGGCCGCCGCGAACCGGCCCCCTCGGCCTAGGCGTTCCCTAGAGCCGCGTCACGGCGCCCGGGGGCGGGCTCCGCGGGGGCCGCGCGACGACGCCGCCGGCCTCGCGCGCGCGGTGCCGCGCGGCCCGGGAGCTGTTGAGCACGTCCTGGATCGTCTCGTGGGACGACAGCGTGCGCAGGTCCTCGAAGGACGGCGCGCGCGCGCGCGGCGCGACGTCGGAGACGCCCACGAGGCCCTCGGCCGCGGGCGGCGGCGGCGGCAGCGGCAGGTCCGAGGGCACGCGGGCGAGGCGCGGGTCCATGCGCGACTGCTTCCGCGCGAGGCCCGGCGTCAGGCCGCCGCCGCTCGACGCGGCGAGGGGCGACCTGTGTGGAAATCAACCAGTGGAACGCCCTGTCCAGCAAAAACTTCAAACCTCTCGAGCTCGGTCAATTCGACGTCGATTCGGCTGATTTTTGGACGAATCGATGGCTCTCGTCGAGTTCTCGAAGCACAGCGGAAGTGCTTGTGTCAAAACATTCGAATACACCCACATTGAAGTAGGGTTGAAGATTTGATTTCCACGCAGGGGGCGACGGGCACGGCAGCGGCGAGTCGTCGCCGAACGAGTGCTCGCGGCGCGGCGGCGGCGGCGGCGGCGGCGGCGGCGGCGCGTCGTCGTCGCCGTGGAGCGGCGACGCGTCGACGAGCGGCGCGGTGTCGGGGTCCGCGGGCACGTCGCGGAGCGCGACGTCGTCGTCCGCGGCCTCGGCGCGGCCGCCGCACGTGAGGTACGCGCCGAGCAACGCGAGGAGGCGCCGCGCCTGGCCGTAGGCGGCGGACGCCGTCCGCGCGACGGAGGCGAGCGCGCCGTCGCGCGCCGAGGGGCCGAGGCCCCGCCGCGCCCGCGCCGACGCCGTGAGCCCCTCGACGGCGGCGGCCTCGGCGTCGTCGTCGCGGCCGTCCCAGGACTCGGCGGACGACGTGCTCTGGGCGACGGCGAACTTCATCGGCGCGGCGAGGCGGCCGTCGCGGCGGCGGCCGTCGCGGCGGAACCGCCGCCCGTCACGGGCGCGACGCGGGCGCGAGGCTGCCCAGTGGCATCGTCTTGTCCTTCTTGCCCTTCTTCTTGCACTGCTTCGCCGCCTTCTTCTCCGTCATCCCCGCGATCACCGCGCACGTCGTCTTCCCCTTCTTCCAGGTCGCCGAGTCCTCGCACATGACGCACTTCTTGCAGATCGGGCACGCCTTCTTCTGCTTCTTGGTGCACTCTGTCTTCGACACCACCTTGTCGCAGATCTTCTTGTTCGCGACGCACGCCTCTTTTTTGGCCTTCAAGTTTCGACACTTTCCCTGGGGACGCCCGGGCCGCCGCCCTCGCCGCCGCCCGGGCGTCGCGCGACGTCGCCCGCGCACAGCAGAAGCGTCGTATACGGCCGAGGGGGAGTTTTTTTTCGGGGGGCGCGCTGCGGGGCCGCGGCGCTAGCGCGCGAGGAGCGAGTTGATGATGTGGGCGAGGATGGACACCTTGGCGTGGTGCTCGGCCTTGACGGGGTGGCTGAGGTTCTCCATGCAGGTCTTGACCTGCTTGAGGACCTCGGGGACGTGGTTCGAGATGCGCGGGTTCGCCGCGTCGAGGCCGAGGATGCTGAGCTGGAGCCACTCGAGCTTGAGCGCGATGGTGCCGTCGCGCTCGAGCGTCGTGCCGAGCTGCTGGAGGAGGCAGAGGAGCGTGAGCTGGCCGAAGGGCAGGGGCCGGAGGCTCTGGACCGTCTCGAGGCCGACGGCGTCGAGCGCGAAGAGGAGCACGTCGACGTCGCTGCACTCGACGGCCTTGTAGACGCACGCGTCGTAGTCGCCCGCGTCCGCGAGGTCGCGGAGCTCGGCCTGCACCGACGACGCGGCCGACGGCGCGGGCGGCGCGGGCGGCGCGGGCGGCGCGGGGAGCGCGGGCGGCGCCGCGGCCGCGGCGCCGCCGCCCCGCGCGTTGAGCGCCTCGAGGAGCGTCGCGACGTTCGCGCCGAGGGCGTCGACCTTGGCCTCGAGGCGCCGCGCGCCGTCGCGCTCCGCGGCCTCGAAGCGGTCGAGGCGCGCCTGGAGCTGCGCGTCGACCTGCGCGAACATGCGCTGCGTCGCCGCCTGGACGGCGGGCACGAGCTGCGCGGCGAAGCAGTCGCGGAAGGCCTCGAGGCTGCCGAGCCGCGCGGCCTCGAGCTGCCGCTGGTCGCGCGCGGGCGCGTCGCGCGACTCGCGGCCCGCGATGGCCGCGGCGAACTGGTCGAACTGCTGCGCGAGGCGCGCGCTCTGGTCCCGGCCGCGGCGGTCGCCGTCCTCGGCCGCGCGGGCCAGGGACTCGCTGACGATCTGCGCGACGGACCGGACGCCGCTGTCCGTCGCGAGGCGCGCGGCGTCCATGGCCGCGCGCGCGGCCGCGTCGCGCGCCTCGGCCCGGAGCTCCGCGCGGTGCGTGCCGTTCGCGGCCTCGAGCACGGCGAGGATCTCCTCGGACGACGGCGCGCGCGGGAGCGCCGCGGCGGGCGCGGCGGGCGCGGCGGGCGTCGCGGGCCGCGACGCGGGCGCCGACGGCGGCCGCGACGCGGGCGTCGGCGCGCGCGGCGCGTCGAGCGTCGGCGGCGGCGGCGGGCTCGGCGACGGCGACCCCTGGCCCAGGTGCAGCGCCGCGAAGCGCGCGAGCGGGTCGCCGCCCGCCGCGGGCTCGTCGTCGCGCATGCCCGGCGGCGGCGGCGGCGGCGCGGGCGGCGCGGGCGGCGCGGGCGGCGCGGGCGCCGCCGGCGCCGCGGCGCCGCCGCCGCGCGGCTCGACGGCGCCCGGGTAGAGCGCCGACGGCCGGAGGAAGTACTGCTGGATCGCCTTGGTCTGCACGCAGAAGAGCTGGACCTCGAAGCCGCTGGGCTCGCCGTCGGCCTCGGCGTCGTGCGCGTCGCCGTCGCCGCCCAGCGGCGCGTCGAGGGCGACGAGGCTGAGCACGGGCTGCGACACGGCGAAGGGCGCGACGTGGTCGACGCGCGTCGCCTCCGGGTCGACGTGCGCGACGTAGAGCGCCGCGCCCGCGCCGTCCGCGGCCTCGGCGGCGACGACGACGAACTGGGCCGTGTCGTCGACGACGAGGCGCCGGGGCGCGCACTGCTGGGGCGTCTTCGACGGCGCGAGCGCCAGGGTCTGCCGGAGCTCGGGCTCGTCCCAGTCGCCGCCGTCCGCGGGCACGGCCCAGAACTGGAGCGCCTCGTTGCCCGACGTGCCCGTCACGAGGCGCGCGCGGCCGTCGCCGCCGTCGAGGAAGGCGGCGCTGCAGACCGCGGACCCGCCGAGCGGCTCGAAGGCGACGAGGAGCTGGGGCGCCAGCGCGTCGTCGAAGCGCCAGCACCGGACGAGGCCGTCGTCCGCGGCCGTCGCGAGCGCGGACCCGTCGCGGTTCCAGCGCACGTCGTTGACGCTCGCCTCGTGCTCCAGCGGCGGCGCCGCCGCGAGGTTCGCCACGTCCTCGACGTCGACGACGCGCGCGGACGCGTCGAGCGCGACGGCGAGCACCGCGCCGCCGCCGGGCCGCCAGGCGACGCGCGTCGCGCCGACTTTCTCCACCGTCGCGACGGCCTCGTGCCGCACCTCCTCGTCCTCGCCGGCCTCGGCGACGAGCCAGACGACGAGCGTCCCGTCGGCGCACGCCGACGCGAGCGTCGCCTCGGACCCGTCCGCGGACGCCTCTGCGAAGGCCAGGTCGACGATCGTCGCGCCGTGGCCCCGGAGCAGCGTGCGCGTCGCGCTGCTCCGCGTGAGCACGCGGATCTTGCCCCCCTTGATGGCGTAGGACACGAAGCGCGCGCTCACGGCGATCTGGTTCCCGAGGGAGTCGCGGGGCGCCGGCTCGGACTGGTAGAGCGTGATGGGCGTGCACTTGAGCTGCGCGCCGTCGCCGAGGTTACTCGGAGCCTCATACTTGGCGCTCGCGCCCTCGATGGCGGCGCTCATCGTCTACTGCGCGCGCGAGTCGATGGCTGCGCTCGCGAGGCTCAGCGAGGCCTCAACATCGCCTGCACCACGCGCATGGACGAGCAAGCTTCGAGCACTGCAGCTCATGCGCATAGCCACGCCTCCGGCGTCCTCGCGCCGCGGTGAGCGCCGACGGCCGCCGGATCAAGCGACGCTCGCGGCGACGACGGCGCGCGACGGGCGAAGGTCGCCCTTAGAGGCGCGCGCGGCGCGCGCGTCGGCGCCGGCCTTGGGCCCCGGGGCTCCTAGGCCCAGAGCTCCTGGACGTAGCGGCCGGTCTTCTGCATGTCGTCGACGTAGGCCTTGGCGTCGCTCCGCGAGCCGAGCTTGGGCGCGAGGACGTCGGCGAGGGCCTCGGCGACGGCGGCGCCCATGGCCGTGCCGCCGCAGACGTAGACGTGGCCCTTGCCGTCGAGGACGTCCGCGGCGAGCGCCGCGGCGTCGGCGTCGCGGCGGAGCAGGTCCTGGACGTAGACCTTGTGCTTCTGGGCCCGCGAGTAGGCGACGTGGAGCGCGTCGAGCGCGCCGCCCGCGCGCCAGGCTTCCATTTCCTCGGAATAGAGGTGGTCGAGGTCCGGCCGCTTGCAGCCGAAATAGAGCGTCGCGCGGGACACGCGCGCGCTGCCCCAGGCGGCGGTCTCGTCGCCGGCCGCCAGCGCCGCGGCGCGCTCGCGGAGGATGGCGCGCATGGGCGCGACGCCCGTGCCCGGCCCGATCAAGACCACGGGCGCGGGCTTGCCCGCCGGCGGCGCGCGGAACGACGACGGCCGCACGAAGGCCCGGATGGTGGCGCCGACGGCGGCGCCCGCGAGCGTCGCGGAGCAGACGCCGGCCTTGGCGCCGTCGGGCGGCAGCGTGGCGACGGCGCACGTCACGTGGACCCGTCCCGGGTCCGCGACGGCCGACGACGAGATCGTGTAGTAGCGGGGCTGGAGCCGCGGGCAGGCCTTGAGGACGAGGGCCGCGAGCACGGCCTCCCTGGGCGCGTCCGCGGGGATGGACGGGCCCAGCGCGACGAGCGCGGCCGCGAGCGTCGGCGGGCCCGGCACCGCCGCCGCCCACGCGGCCCACGCGTCCTTGGCCAACCCGGGCGCGTCGCCGCCCGCGGCGGCCACGAGGGCGGCGAGGTTCGCGCGCTTCGGGGCCGCCGTGAGGTCGCAGTAGCTGGTCAGCGCCTCGCGCACGCCGCAGGGCGTCGGGAACGGCGCCTTGGCGGCCGCGTCGCGCGGCGCGAGCGCGAACGACGCGTTCAGGTCGAGGCCCAGGGCTCCCGCGACGGCCGCGACGTCGGCCGGCGCGTTGGCCGGCAGGATCGCCAGGTTGTCCGCCGTCTCGTAGGGGAGGTCCGCGGCGTCGAGCTCCAGATGCAGCGTCGACCCGCCGTCCGCCGGCGCCCGGAGCTCGCGCGTGGCGAGCACCGCGGCCTCGGCGTTGTCCGCGTAGAACTTCGTCGACGCCCCCAGCGGCGCCGCCGTGGTCGCGCCGCCGAAGACGACGTCGAAGTCGAGCGCGACGGCGCCGCCGTCGTCCGCGGCGCCGCCGCTGCCGCAGAGCGCGCTCCAGAGCCGCTCGCGCCAGGCGTCGAAGTCGGCCTCGAGGTCGGCGTCGTCGTCGCCGAGGCCCAGGTCGGCGCAGCGCTCGCCGCCGAGCGCCGCCAGGAGCTCGTCCGTGAGCTTGCCCATCGCGTTGAAGTGCTGGTACTGCGTGTTGCCCAGGCCGAAGACCGCGAACTTCGCGCCGGCGAGCAGTCCGCCGTCGTCCTTCGCCGCGGCCTTGGCCCACTTGAAGAAGACGTGGGAATTGTCCGTGGGCTCGCCCTCGCCGTAGGTCGCCATCGCGAAGACCATGGTCGGCGCGCGCCAGCCCGCGTCCTCGAACTCGTCCGCCTCGAAATCCTCCAAGTCGACGACGGTCGGCGCGAAGCCGCGGCGCCGCGCCTCGTCGGCGATGGTCTTCGCGAAGCCCTCGGCCGTGCCCGTCTGGCTCCCGAAGAAGACCTGCAGCCGCCCGTTGGGCGCCGGCGGCGCCGCGGGCGCCGCCGCGGCGGCCGGCGCCGCCGCCGCCGCCGGCTCCTCCTTGGCCCCGCCCTTGAGCACGACGATGGCCGCCAGCAGCAGCGCGACGGCCACGAGGCCCAGCACGATGGGCGCGTCGACCATGGCTGAAACCCGGAGCTGCGACGGCGCGAGGCGGCGAAACCTGGAGCCACCTACGTCCGCAGAGACACGAGTCGTGTGCGGCACGGCAGCATCAACAACGGCTTAGAGCTTCACGGTGCCGCGCCCAGCGTAATTGATCCAAGTCTGGGGCGCTGGTCCGGCGCGTCGTGCGGTCGCCATGGCGGAGATCAAGGTGCGGCGGTCCGCGAGCCAGCGCGGCGGCCTCGACCGCGGGGGCTCCTTCCGCCAGCCCGGGCAGCCCGGCGGCATCGAGCGGCGGAGCACGCAGCAGCTCCTGGAGACCATCCGGCACCTCCAGGAGGAGAGCTCCGACGACGTGGCGGCGGAGCTGAGCCAGAGCAAGCACAGCATGGCCATGGTCCAGTTCATCGTCTACTGGGTCTTCCTCATGATCGTCTTCGCGGCCGTCTTCGCCAGGGCAGGAAGTTCCCAACTTCAAAGGCTCCGATCTCGGCCGCGTTCCGCTCGTTTCGGCTGATTTTTGGGCGGGCGATCATCCCTCGAAGCGTGGATGCTTTCTCTGGAACGATCGCGCGCGGAACGCTCACGTTGAAGCGACATTGAATCACTCCGTTCCTGCCCAGGTCTTCGCGCCGCCGTACACGACGCACTTCTACCGGCAGACGGCGACGGTCGAACGCCGGGGCCGCGAACGGGTGAACTCGACTTCAATGTGAGCGTACGCGACAGTTTCGACGCAATCTCTTCGGCCGTGCTTCGAGAACTCGACGAGAGCAATCGATTCGTCCAAAAATCAGCCGAATCGACTTCGATTTGACCGAGCTAGAGAATTCTCAAGTTGGTGCTTCGACGCGGGCCTTCCGCGCGCGCGCGCTCCGAGAAAACGCATGCAGGGCGCTCCGAGAGATGATCGCCCGTCCGGAACTGGGCCGAAACGAGCGGCACGCGGCACGCGGCCGGAGCCTCCGGGGACGTCGCGCGCAGGTCAAGGAGCCGCTGCTCCAGAACGAGATCTACGCCAACGTCTTCTTCGAGAACGCCATGAACGCGGACCAGATGTACCAGGTCCTCAAGCAGCTCATGATCCCCCACACCTTTGCGAGCAAGTACTGGTCGGGCAAGGTCTTCTCGCCGAACGACAAGCAGCGCGTGCGCCGCGCGGAACGACTCCGTCGCGTCGACGGTCGGACGGGCCGCGCGCGCGTCGCGCCTCGGACGCGGGGCGGGCCGCGCGCGTCGACGCTGATCCCGGGCGGCCCCAGGTACAAGTACCGCGCGCAGTACACGTCGGAGACGCTCCTCGCGCTCGGGCGCGTCCGCCTGCGCACGCTGCGCGTCCGCGACGACGCCTGCGACCTGCCGCGGTTCCTGCGGGACTACTACGAGGAGTCCTCGCCGACGGCCTACGAGGACAAGGGCGCGCGCGCGGCGTGCTTCGGCGGCTACGCGGCGGAGCACCAGGACGAGGACGACTGGACGCTCGAGGACCCGGAGACGGGCGACGAGCTGAGCCTCAAGTACAAGGCCTACAGCGACGGGCGGGCCTGGGAGTCGCCCTTCTCCAAGGTCTGGTACGGCGAGGGCGGCCAGGTCTACGACCTCGAGATCGGCAAGCGGCAGGCGACGGCGAACCTCGAGGCGCTGCGGCGCGCGGGCTTCGTCGACAACCGGACGCGCTGCGTCTTCGCGGACATGACCTGGTACAACCCGAACGTCGACATGTTCACGAACGCGCGCGTCGCGTTCGAGTTCCTGCCGTCGGGCAAGATGCACCCGACGCTGTCCGTCGACAGCGCGCCGCTGCTCTACGACGCGCGCGCGCTGAACATGGACGGCTACGGGTTCGCGGACCTCTGCGCCGTGCTCATGGAGTTCGCGCTCTACGGCGGCGCGATCTGGTTCCTGGCGCGCGTCTCCGAGGACGTCACGGACTACGCGTCGCTCAAGGGCTACCTGAGCGTGGGCTGGAACGTCATGGACGTGCTGAGCGTGGCCTGCTTCCTCGTCGTCATGGTGCTCCGGGCCATGTGGATGCTGCGCATGATGAGCGACAGCGTCAACGAGTACGAGGAGCACATCGACACGGACGAGCACGCGGACGACGAAAAGTTCGGGCCCTTCAGCTTCGACGTCTACATGCGCCTGCGGCTCACGTTCCAGTACTACCGCTACTGCCGCAATTTCCTCGCCACGGGCGTGCTCATCACCTTCATCAAGGCCTTCAAGTTCCTCTCCGTGTCGAAGCAGCTGTCGCAGTTCACGGAGACGATCTACGTCGTGTCGTCCGAGATGCTGTCCGTCGTGCTCATCCTCGCCATCATCCTCGTGGGCCACGCCGTCGCCTTCCACATCTCCCTGGGCCACGCCATCGCGGGCTACCGCACGTTCTTCGACTCGATGATGACGCTCACGCTCGCGATCTTCGGCGACTTCGACCTCGAGGAGATCATCGCCGTCGCGCCGACGAGTGGCCTCGCGATGATGATCTCCTACATCGTCGTCATGACCTTCGTGATCCTGACCATGTTCCTCAAGATCATCGACGTGTCCTACTCCGCGGTCATGGAGCGCATCGCGGGCGACGACGACGACAACTTCACGCGCGACCTCCGCGACGCGCTCGCGCGCATCGCCTACGACCTCTACTGGTCCGTCATGATCCGCCTGACTCTGCTCCGCGCCCGCTACGCGCTCCTCTTCCACCGGCCCGACGGCGACCGGCCGGCCCTCGTCGTCGACGACGGCTCCGCCGCGGGCTTCGCGGCGCCGGGGAAGCGGTCGCTCGCGGAGAAGCTCGCCGCGCGCGACTCGGCGCGGACCCTCGCGGCGCTCCCCGAGCCCGACGACGACGGCGACGCGCAAACGCCCGTCGACGACCGCACGGAGCTCCAGCGCGCGCTCGACAAGCGCGAGCGCCACGTGGAAAAGCACGGCCGCGCGTTCGACGCGGCCGCGGAGCGCGCGCTGCTCGTGGACCACTTCGTCGCCGAGCACCGCGACGTCGCCGAGGCCGACGTCCCCGCGGACCACGTCTCGCGCAAGTGCGACGACCTCGTCGCGCACCAGCGGTCGCTCGGCGACCTCGCCGCGAAGCTCGCGGCGGCCATCGCGGGCGAGGACGCGCCGGCGACGCCCAGCGGCGCGCGCGGCGCCAAGAGCGCGACGTTCCAGAGCCCCGTCGTCGCGCTGCTGGACCAGCCGTCGCTCGTCTCCGCGCTCACGGACCCGCGCGACCCGACGCCCGCGGGCGCCGCGGGCGCGGCGCCGCCGGCGATCCAGGAGGAGCTCGACGTCCTCTCCGTCGTGTCCGCGGGCTCGCAGCGGACCGTGGTGACGCACGACGGCGACGGCCCCCCCGCCGGGGTGTAAGCGCCTTCCGTTTCTCAGCTTTTTTAAAGGTCGCGCGCCCCGGGCCGTCGAACTCACGGCGGCCGGCGGCCGAGCGCGTCCCGGATGTCGCCCGTCCTCTGCCGCTTCCGCGCGCGCGCGGGGCCGGCGCCGCCGCAGGCGGCGCAGGTCCGCGCGGACTCCGGATTCCGCAGCGTGCAGGCCGCGCAGTCCCAGCCCGCGCCGGCGTGGGGGCGCGCCGCGCCGCAGCAGGCGCACGCGACCGCCGCCCGCGCGTTCGTGAGCGTGCACGCAACGCAGGACCAGGACTCCTCGCCGCGGCGCGCCGGCGCCTCGTCGCGGCGCGGCGGCGCCTCGCCGCTCCGCGGCGGCGCCTCGTCGCGGCGCGCCGGCGCCGCGGGCCGCTTCTGCGCGCCGAAGAAGCTCGTGATCGCGCTTCGGCCCGAGGCGACGGCCGCGAAGTCGCCGAGCGAGAGCTGGAGGCGGCTGCAGGGGAGGCCGCCGCCGTCGAAGCCCTTGAGCAGGAGCGCCGCGGCGGCCGCGAGGGAGGGGCCGGTGACGCTCGCGGGCGCGCGCGTCGTCTTCGTGCGCATCGCCGCGTCGTCGTCGTAGTCGCCGCGCCGCCCGAGCGTGAACTTGGCCGGCCGCCGGTCGTTGAGCGCCGCGTCCTCGTCCGCGCGCTCCGCGAGCTCCGCGGCGAGGAGCCGGAGCCACTCGGCGACGACGGCCGCGCGCCGCTCGGCGGCCGGGAAGGACTTGAAGACGTTGAGCGACTTGGGCCGGAGGTTGTCGACGACGGCCGCGCCGTCGTCGCCGCGGAGCACGAGCGCGCGGAGCCGGGCCGCGAAGGGCGGCGCGGCGCCGCGCCCCTCGAGCGCGATGAGCGCGTCGAGCGCGCGCGCCGCGGTCGCGTCGTCGCGCACGCCGAGGGCCGCCTGGATCGCGAGGCCCTCCTTGCCCCGGTAGCCGTTGATCGACAGGAGCGGCGTCGCGTGCATGACGTCGGGCACCTCGGCGCGCGACACGACCGTCGTCCGCGCGGGCTTGTGGCGGCTGCTCGCGAGCTTCGCGAGGAACTTGCTCGTGGACACGCCCGCGGACGACGTGAAGCCCGTGCGCGCGAAGACCGCGTCGCGCAGCGCCGTCGCGAAGACGCCGCCGCGCGCGAGGCGCGCGTCCTCGGAGCCGCCGCCGGCCGCCGCGGCGGCCGTGACGTCGACGTAGACCTCGTCGATGGACGCGCGCTCGATCGTCGCGCCGCCCGCCGCGCCGACGAGCGCGTCCAGGACGGCGCGCGACGCGCGGCGGTACCGCGCGAGGCTCACCTGCGGGCGCCGCGCCGATGAGCGCGTCCAGAACGGCGCGCGACGCGCGGCGGTACCGCGCGAGGCTCACCTTGGCGGCGGACCGGTCCGGCGCGGCGGCGGGGTCGGCGATCGACGCGCCCGTCTTGAGGTCGAGGTACTCGACGTGCACGCACGCGATGCCGTCGCACTTGCGCCGCGCGTCGCGCGGCGTGTCGAAGCGCGTCACGCCGGCCGCGCGCGCCGGGTACGACACGGCGAGCAGCGAATCCCACTGGACGACGCCGACGGCGTCGCGCCGCGCGTCGAGGCCGACGCGCTTCGCCTCGACCTGCGCGTAGAAGGCGTCGAGGTCGAGGTGGACGATGACCTTGAAATCCATGGCGGTTGTTGCCGGCGCGCGATGGCTTCACGGCAGGAGGGCAATCGGTCGTCGGCGCTCTCGATAGGTTCGGCGCGCCAGTGGCGATGGCTTCTCGGCGCGCAGTGCGGCGATCGCTTCTCGGCGCGCACTCGGTTCAGCGCGCTGGATGGCGAGTCGCGCGGGCGGCGATCAATGCGGCGCAGCTGCTGCCTTGACCTGCCTACAGGAGAACCATCCTGCATTTGCCACTTCTTCAGACGCTTCAGACTTCACCTGAAGGCATCTTGATGCTTGTCCACTCTACTTGTCCACATGCGTGTCCACCTGCTTGTCACCTCGGAACCCCCTAGGAACCCCCCCCGGTTCCAGGCCGAGCGATGGGTCAGCGCGCGTCGCGCATCGAGACCTACGCCGAGGTTAGTCGTCGGGGGAGCCGAAGAGCTGGTCCGGGTCGCAGCAGGGGCAGCCGCGGAGCTTGCGGTGGCCGAGGTCCGAGAACTTGGCGCGCTTGCCCGCGACGGTGGCGCGGGACCCGCCCCCGCGCGCGCGGCGCCCCGCGAGGAGAGAACGCGCGCCGGACGCGACGAGGAGCCCGGACGCGTAGAGGAGCAGCGAGCCGCCCGCGGCGGCCGCGGCGGCCGCGACGACGTCCTCGGGGTGGCGCCAGTGCTTGACGCGCGTCGCCGTCGCCGAGACGACGAGGCCGAAGCTCACGTACCACCAGGCGTCGTCGGGCGCGCCGCCGCGCCGCGGCGCGCGCGCGCGCCGCGGCGGGTCGCGGCCGCCGTGCGCCGCCGCGAGCGCGGCGCGCTGCCGGAGCACGGCGTCGTAGACCGCGTCGCGGCGCAGGTCGGCGAAGGCGCCGGGCGTCGCGGCGACGCACCTTCGTCCGTTGCCGAAGACGAAGACGAAGCACGAGTCGATGGGCGCGCAGTCCGGGTCCGTGCACAAGACCTCGCGCGCGCTGACGGTGCAGTGCGACGGGTCCCGCGCCATGGCCGAGCGCACGACCGACGGCAGCGCCTCCGACGCCCAGGTCGTCACCTTGCGGTGGAGCGCCTTCCGGTCCGCCGTCGTGTTCGACGGGTCGAAGAGCATGGTCGTGCGGATGTTTTTCTCTTGCGTCTCGCGCGCGCACGGGTGAGTTACGCGTGGATGGCGTCGCTCACCGTGCCGCCGCTGCGGGGCTCATGGCAGGCGATGAACTTGAGAATACGTCGTCCATAGTTGCGACTTTCGGCCGATCTCACGGTATTATACACTGGGTTGCGGGCTTAACAAGAAATCGATGACTTCGTCGAGCTCCAGCGAGCTCGCCGGGGTCGGTGGTTCCATCGAAGGGGCGTTGGCGCAACGGTAGCGCGTCAGATTCCAGTCCTGAAGGTTGCGTGTTCGAATCACGCACGCCTCATTTTTTTATTATTTTTTTTGCTCCTTGGCGGACTCCTAGAGGCGTGGTGTTCGACTCACGCACGCCTAATTTTTTTTGGCCGGCCGTCGCGGCCACCGCCACTGCGTCACCGCGTCACTGAGGCCTCGATTACCGGCGCGGCCCTAGCGAGAACCCATAAGAGTTGTTACACCTAGACCTAGCGCGCGAAGGGCAGCAGCGCGTAGCAGAGGAAGAAGCACTTCCAGAGGTGCATGTAGAAGGCGGCGACGGCGCCGCCGGCCTCGGCGTCGACGGCGCGCGCGCGCGCCGCGGCGTCGGCCGCGGCGGCGGCGAGGACCGCCGCGAGGCCCGCGCGCGTCGCGGCGCGCGCCGCGGTCTCGGCGGCCGCGGCCGCGGCCGCGAGGCCGGCCGCGGCGGCCGCGAGCGTCGCGACGAGGACCGCGGCCGCGCCGTCGAAGACGCGCTGGCGGCCGAGCGCGCGGCTCAGCGTGCGGACGCCGTACCTCGCGTCGCCGGCGACGTCGGGCACGTCCTTCATGAGCGCGATGGCGACGGAGAACGCGCCGAAGAATGCGACGACGAGGCCGAGGCGCGCGTCGGCCGCGGCGCGCGCGGCGCCCTCGGGGAACGCGCGCGCCGCCGCGTGCGCGTAGAAGCACGTGTTCACGAGGACCGCGCGGACCTGCGCGGCCATCGACCGGTGCGCTGGTGGGACGTCGGGGCCGGACTCGCTCGGTCGCGTCGACGTCGCTTCGGCCGACGTTCGGACGAATCGTTTTCTCTCGTCGAGCGCTCGCAGCGCGGCGGAAGCGCCTGGTCCAAACGACGCGCCCATTGAAGTCAAAAATGAAGTCAAAAATGAAGTCAAAAATTCCGCGCGGGCGTCGACGGCGACGATGCACGCGGCCGCGAGCGCGGGCGACCGCCTGTGTGGAAATCAAATCTTCAATCCGACGTCAATGTGCGCGTATGCGACCGTTTCGACGCGAGCTCTGCTTCTCTGCTTCGAGAACTCAATGAAAGCAATCGATTCGTCCAAAAATCAGCCGAATCGACGTCTGAAGTTTGGCGGCGACCCCCCGAACCGCTCGGGCGACCGCTTGAGCCGGAGCGGCGGCGCCGAGTAGGCGAAGCCGAGGAGGGCCGAGCCGAGGAGCACGCGCCGCAGGGGCTCGGACCCGAGCCGCGCGTCGCAGCCCAGCAGCGCGGCGCCCGCGAGCGCGGCGGCCGCGATCGCCGCGCCGTCGCGCATCGCGAGCTCGCCGGACGCGACGGGCAGGTGCGGCTTGTTGACGCGGTCGATGTCGACGTCGCAGAGCTGGTTGAGGCCCGTGATGAAGACGTTGACGAGCAGCGCGGGGCCCAGCGCCGCGCACACGGACGCCGCGAACGCGGGCGTGAGCGCGGCCGCGGCCGACGGCGCCGCGAGCGCGTGGAGCGCGGGCACGGACAGCGCCGTGCCGACGAAGGTGTGCGGCCGCGTGAAGCGCCAGCCGACGCGCGCCGGCCGCGCGACGCGCGCCAGCAGCAGCTGGGCCGACGCGACGCCGCCGGCGCCGGACGGGTCGCCGACGGCGGCGCCGCGGGCGGACCGCCGCGGCGCGCCGAGCGCGCCGCGCCGCGCCGGCGGCATGCGCAGCGCGCCGACCGCCGCGGCGCCCAAGGCGACGACGACCGCGACACGCATCGCTGCACCGAGAGCTGAAGAGGACACAAATGGAGCCAACAAGCGTCGGCGATTGAAGGCAATTTGACGCCTTGGAGCCTCCTTGGTTGAAGGTACCTAGGAAGAATTACGATGCGCGCCTCCCCAGCCAGAGCGATGGAGGCCGTGGTTTAACTTGAAGAAGAATTACGATGGGCGGCAGCCCGGAAGCCCTCGTCCTGCTCCTCGTCGCCGGCGTTCAAAGTTTGCGCCAACGAGAACGGGCTGGCCCGCCGGCCGCCCATGGGCTGGCGCTCCTGGAATTTGTTCGGCGCCGCCGTCGACCAGCGCCTCATGGAGCGCGTCATGGCGGGCCTCGTGGACCGGTCGCGCCTCGTCGACGGCGCGCCGACGAGCGACGCGACCTTCATGTTACCGGCACTCGCCTCTCGTGCCTTTTCAAGAATTGGCGAGGCGATGAGCGCCTGCGTCGAGGCCAGTGCCATGCCCGCATCGCTCGCAGCAACGAGCGACGCGTCGACCTTGCCCGCGGCGCTGGCCGCGGCGACGCTGCGCGACGGCGCCGCGGCCGCCGGCGCGCCGGCGCCGGCCTTCGTGGACCTCACGCCGTTCGTCGACGCGGCGGTCCTCGACGACCTCGACGACTACCTCGAGGCGCGCGGCGTCGCCGGCGCCGGCGGCGCCGACGGCGCGGAGACGATGATCTTCGCCGCCGAGGGCCGAAAGTACGGCGACGCCGTCGAGCTCTGCGATCGCGACACGAGCGCGTGGTGCATGGACGCGTTCTACGCGCGCGGCCCGAAGGACGACTTCAAGAAGTGCCGCGCGTACCGCGGCGACCCGCGCACGTGGCGGCCGAACCACAACGCGCGCGCGCTGCCCGGCGTCGGCGACCGGCTCCGGCGGCTCGGGCTCCTGGAGCAAATGGGCAAGACGGCGATCATCCTCAACGCGCGCAACTCGGCGGGCGTCGAGCACGCGGACCACGCCCTGCCGGACCTCGTGTCCGAGTTCGTCTGGCTCCGGCCGCGCGCGTCGACGAAGCGCTTCTACGTCCGCGACGACGCGGGCGCGAAGCAGTTCCTCGGGCCGCACGTCCGCGCGGCCTGGTTCGACGACCACCGGCGCCACTGCATCGAGCCCGTCGACGCCGACGGCCAGGTCTCCATCCGCGTCGACGGCCGCTTCGCGCCCGACGTCCGCGCGCGCCTCGTGAAGAGCGGCGCCTTCGCGACGAACGTCCCGGGCTACGACGGCGCCGCGGTCCTCGCGGCCCAGGACCGCGGGCCCACGTTCCTCCGCTGCGACTAAGTTTCGGAGGGCGCGTTTCCCCGCTGTGCCAGCCTGTGGAGGCGTCGCGGGATGAGGCAGGGTGCCACTGCCAGGGGTGTGGGACAGCCTTGTACTGGTACGGCGCGATTTTGTGGCAATAGTCGTGTCCTCCGAGTCCCGTGGCTCTCCCTACGCCTCCCTTCGCTGTTCTCTCTCACTTCGATACTCACTGGTGCTCGGACGTTGGATTTCCTTTCTTGCTTCTAGCACACAAAAAACAAATTACCGGCCCTCGTGGAAGCCCTCGATGAGCCCCCGCAGGGCGATGTTGGGGACGAGGGCCGTCGACGCGAGCGGCGCGTTCGTCTGCGGCGACGTGCGCTTCGCGCGGAACCAGCGCTCGATGGCCGACCGCTCGTAGGAGAAGCCGTCCGCGGCGATGACGGGGTCGACCATGCACTCGCGCGTGATCGCGCAGAGGAACTCGGCCGGCGGCTCGCGGACCGCGGCCGCGTTCTCGCGCCGCGCGGCCGCCGCGTCGGCGCGCGCGTCGTCGGCGTCGGCCCGCGCGGCCGCGAGCGCGCGCCGCGCGGCGTCGAGCTCGCCCCGCAGCGCCGCGCCGTCCGCGTCGAGGGGCGGCGCGCCCGCGCGCGCGAGGAGCGCGCCGACGGTCTCGAGGAGCGCCGCCGCGTCGTCGCGCGGCGGCGGCGGCGGCGGCGCGCCATCGTCGGGCGCGTCCGCGGCGTCCGCGGTCGCGGCGACGCGGTCCGTCGTCCGCCGCGACGTCTCGACGCGGACCGTCTCCGCGGCGCCGCCGTCCGCGTCGCGGACGACGCCGTAGTAAAAGCCGGCGCCGCGGCGGAGCGCGACGACCTCGCCGCGGTGGAAGCCGTGGCCCGGCGGCGCGGGCGCGATCTTCGCGGCGTCCGCGGCGTCCAGCGCCGCGCCCGGCGCGCCGCGCCGGAGCGCCGCGCGGCGGTCGTCGGCGCCCGCGCCGCCGTCCGCGTCGCCCGCGAGGAGCGCGAGGGACGCGCGGAGCCGCTTCGGCGGCGCGTTGAGGAGCACGCCGAAGCCGTGGGCGAGCGCGGGCGGCAGCCGGAGGTGGCGGAGGAGCGCCGGCGCCGCCACCGCGCCGGGCGACAGCACGCCCCGCGGCAGGTCGCGCGCGGCGACGTAGAGCACCTTGCCGTTTCCGTCGACGTGCGCGACGCGCCGCGCGGCCGCCGCGGGCGCGCCGGCGTCGAGGGCCACGGCCGTCTCGAGGCGCGACACGTAGCGGACGTCGAAGCCGGAGAGCTCGGCCGCGAGGCCGTCCGCGTCCGCGCCGTCGCCGTCGCCGGACTCGGCCGCGAGGCCCGCGAGCGCGCCCGCGAGCTCGCGGGACCGCAGCGTCGCTTTGAGCTGGGCCTCGGACGGCTCGACGCCGACGAGGTCGCCGTCGCGGTCCGCGGTTTGTACGGTCTCGGCGGCCGCCTCCGAGAGCCGGCGGCAGCCGACGGCGGCGCAGGTCGCGCCGTCGAGGCGCGGGTGCGCCGCGAAGGCGCCGGCGGCGCCGAGCCGCGCCGCAAGGTGCGGCGCGTCGACGAAGAACGTCCTAGACGCCGGGCGCGGCACGCCCGTCGCGTCGGGCACCATCACGTCGCCGGCGCCGCCCGCGCGCGCGAGGAGGCCGACGAGGCGGCAGGCCGCCCGGACCTCGTTGGGGTCGAGGCGCCGCGCGCCTAAACGCCGCAGCGCGGCCGCGACGTCGCCGGGCGCGGGCGCGCGCAAAACGCCGAACCGGCGCTCGAGCACGTCGCGCGACGGCAGGCCGCGCGGCACCTCGAAGAGCAGCGGCGCGAGCGCCCAGGGCTCGTCGTCGGGCAGCTCGAGGAAGGCCGTCCCCGACGCCGCGGCGACGGTCGCGACGCGCCGCGCGTCCAGGTCCGTCGGCACGAGCGCGAACGACGGCAGCGCCGCTCGCACCGCGGGGCTCAGGTCGTCCCACGCGGCGTCCAGATAGTCGAACAGCGCCCCGAAGGCCTCCGCCGGCGCGACGCCGCGCCGCCAGGCGTCGTGCGCGCCGCCGCCGAGGGGCGCGACGGCGCGGCACGCGGCCCCGGGGTCCGCCGCGAGGCGCCGCGCGTGCGCGAGCACCGTCGCGGGCGCCGGCGGGCTCCGGAGGCCGAGCGGGTTCCACAGGACCCGCGGCGGCGCGTCGCCCGGCCGCAGCACCTTCGCCCCGAGCCAGGCCACGCGCCGGTCGCCCGGCGCGACGAGCGCGTCGAAGGACGAGAAGTCGTCGACGACGTCGCCGCCGCGCGCGTAGTCGCAGCAGGGCACGAAGGCCACGGGCGCGAGCGACGCCAGCAGGCCGTCGTCCGTCGCGAGCGCGTGGTCCGTGTAGAGCGCCTTGAGCAGCCGCCGCGCGGCGCCGGCGTCGGCCGCGGCCGCCGCGGCTTTGGCGGCGTCGAGGAACGTCTTCGCGTCGACGCGCCTCTTCAGCCCCAGGTCCCGGAGCAGGCGCAGCCAGGGCGCGCTGCGGCAGTCCGCTGCGGGGACGAGGGCCGCGTCGAGGGCCTCGTGGGCCTGGGGGTCGAGCAGCTCGTCCGCGCGCTTCTTGGCCCGCGGCGCCGACCGGTCCGGTTCCGCGGGGCCGACGGGCACGAACGCGCACGGCGCGAGCGCGTCGACGAGGGGCTGGCAGCGCCGCAGCTCCGGGTCCCAGTGCTCCACGAGAAAGTCGACGAGATCCCGCTCGACGGCCGGCGGCAGGTCGCCGGCCTTCAAGCGCGGCGCGCAGACGCGCGCGGCGGCCGCGGCGACGTCGACCTCGGGGACGCGCAGGTCCGCGTAGAGGTCGCGCAGCGCCGCCGTCGCCGGCCGCTCGAGGAAGCCCGCCAGGTCCGCGGGCGCCGCGTAGGGTCGCACGGCGTCGAGCGCGCGCGGGCTCAGGGCCTCGAGGTCGCCCTCGCCGCCCAAAGGCGCGAAGTCGCCGCCGAGCGTCTTGAAGAGCGGCAGCGTCCGCAGCGTCGCGACGAGCGACGGCGACGTCGCGCAGGGGTGGAGCTCCTCGAGGAGCGCCGTCGTCGCCGCGCCGTCGAGGCGGTCCCATTTCAGCGCCGGCGCCGCGCCGAGGCACCGGAGCGCCTTGGCCTTCACGGAGCCGCCGTTCGCCGCGGCGACGACGGCGCCGCGGCGGTCCGGCGGCCAGTAGCGCGCCTCGAGGATGGGCGCGCCGAGGGCGCGCAGCGCCCCGAAGAGGCGCCGCGTCCGGTCGCGGTCGCCCGCGGGCGTCGGCGCCTCCGCCGCGCGCGGCGCGTCGGCGACGTTTTCTGGGGGGGTTCGGGGCCGCGCGCGTGCGACGCGGTCCTCGCCCATCTCCGCGCAGCGCCGCCGCTCGAGCTCGTCCTCGGCCGCGTCCGCCGCGGCCTCGTCCGCCGCGGCCTCGCGCCGCGCCGCGTCCGCCGCACGTGCGAGCGCCGCTAATTCGCGCTCGAGCGCCGCGTCGTCGGCCCGCAGGTCGCTCGGCTCCGCGACGACGGCGTCGCGGTGGCGGCAGGCCAGCGCGCCGCCGCCCTCGAGGGGGATGAGGGGCAGGTCCCCGAAGAGCGCGACGGCGTGCGGGTCCTCGAAGTCGACCTCGCGCCAGAACTCGGCGACGAAGTGGCGCCGGTCGGCCGGGAGCCGGTCGCCCCAGGGCGCCGCGAGCTCCGCCGCGAGCGTCGCCAGCGTGAAGCGCTCGAGGCCGACGGCCGTGGCGAACTCGAGGCTCAACGGTCCGCCGTCGAAGAGCGCCGGCGCGGCCTTCGCGGCCCTCAACCGCACGACGCGGCGCGCGAGGCCCGGGCAGAGCGCCGATTGCCGGGGCGTAGCTAAGAGCGGCGCGCCCGTCGTCGTCGTCGGGCCGTCGAAGACGCGGCGCCGCGGCCGGCAGGCGGCGACGCTCCCGTCCTCGAGGGGAATCAGGGGCAGGTGCTTGACCTCGGCCCAGCACCGCTGGCGCGCCTCGCGGCCGCGCGCCGTGCCGTCGTCCGCCGCGGCGACCTGGGCAGGAAAAGGGTGCGAAATTCTCAATTTCAAAGGCTCCTTTCTCGGCCGATTTCCACTCGTTTCGGCTGATTTTTGGACGAGCGATCATCCCTCGGAGCGCTCTCGACGCGTGGATGCTTTTCCCGGAACGCGCACGCGCGGAACACTCACGTTGAAGCGACGTTGAATCACCCTTTTCCTGCCCTGGCGGCGACGGCGTCCGCGCAGCATAAGTCCAGCAGCTGGCTCGCGAGGCGCCAGCACTCGTCGGGCCCGCCGGCGGCGAGCTCGCCGCGGAGCTTGCCGTCGTCCTCGGCCGCGAGCGCGCGCCGGAGCGCCGCGGGCGTCGCCCGTCGCGCGGTCCCGGGCGCGGCGGCGTCGAGGTCCCTGCCGACGGCCGCGGGCGCCCGGAGCAGCGCCATGCGCCGCTGGAGGAAGCCCTCGACGCGGAAGGGCAGCGGGTCCGCGCGGAAGAGGCCCCCGGACGCCGCGACGTAGGTCGCGCCGTCGCCGGAGAGGAAGAGGGGCTCGGCCGCGAGCCGCCGCGCGGCGGCCCGGGCCGCGGCCGCGCCGTGGAGCGGGCACGCGGCATCCGTGTCGGCGTCCGCCGCGCCGGACGCGTCGACGACGGCCGCGGCGAGGGGCGCCGCGTCGACGACGGCCAGGGGCGCGCCGCCGCCGCCGTCGACGACGGCCGTCGCCTCCGGCGGTGGCGCCGCGTCGCCGAGGCCGAAGGCGAGGCGCGGCCAGAACCGATAGAGCGCGTGGCGCATGAGCAGCCGGTCCTTGAGGTGGCCCAGGAAGAGCGGGAGCACGTCGCAGAGCGCCGCGCGCCAGAGCGCGTCGTTCCATCGGCCCCGGACGCCTGTGTGGAAATCAAATCTTCAACCCGACTTCAATGTGAGCGTATGCGACGGTTTCGACGCAAGCTCTTCTTCTATGCTTCGAGAACTCGACGAGAGCAATCGATTCGTCCAAAAATCAGCCGAATCGACGTCGATTTGACCGAGCTAGAGAGTTCTGAAGTTTGGTCAGGACCCCCCGAACCAGTGGTTGATTTCCACACAGCTTGGCGCCGCCGCGGCACAACTTTCGTTCCAGCGCGCCGCCGGAGAAGGTCGCCGGCGCGTCGCCGTCGACGCAGACGGGCGCGTCGACGAAGACGTTGGGCAGCACGCCGGCGAGGTCGACGCCCGCGTCCGCGCCGCGCGCGGAGAGCCGCGCCGCCCCGTCGCACTCGCCGTCGACCTTGGCCGCGAGCGTCACGAGGGGCGCGTCGGCGTCGCGCCCGACGCGGTCCCGCGCGGCCGCCGCGGCCTCGCGGAGCGCCGCCGACGGCGCGAGGACGCCTAAAGCGAGCCACGCGTCCGCGCGCGACGCGCAGCCGCCGTCGCCGTCGTAGGTCGCGACGACGACGCGGAACTCGTAGAGGAGCGCCGGCGGCCGGAAGACCTGCGCGGCGCCGAGGCCGCCGAGGAAGGCGCCGACCTTGGACTTGGGCAGCCACGCGCGGTCGCTCGCGAGGAGCCGGCGCCGCGCGTCGCCCGGAGAAGCCGAGCCGGAGCCGTCGCGCGGCAGCAGTTTCTCGCCGCTCCGCGTCGCCGAGAAGCGCGGCAGGAGCGCGTTGCCGCCGGAGAAGACGTGCGTCGTCACGCCGGCGAGCGCGTGCCCGAAGAGGAGCGCGCGCTCCGCGCCGGCCTCGAAGCTCCGGAGGAGGCCGTCGACGCGCGGTACGTCCAACTCGCCGTCGACGAAGAAGTCGCCGCGGAGCGGCAGCCGCAGGATGGTCCCCGCGGCGATGCCGCGCTCGGAGACGCCAAAGGGCAGGTGCGCGAAGGGCTCGAACTGGTTCGGGAACTTGCGCATGAGATCGCCGTCGCCCAACTGGTAGCGCCGCCCCGCGGGCCCCGGCGGCCGCTTCTCGCCGCCGCCGTCGTCGAGGAAGGCGCCCGACGGGTCGAAGACGTGGAGCGTGTCGCGGTTGAGCGCGAAGAGGCAGTCGCTCAGCGAGAAGGCGCCCGCGAGGCCGCGGCCGACGGCCGCCGCGCCCGGCGACAGGAGGCGCACGAGCGCCTCCGTCCCGACCGGCCCGTCGTGGTCGACCCAGAGCACGAGCGCCGGGCCCTGGGCGCCCGCGAGCGCCGGGTGCACGAGGCTCGCCGCGCCGTGGGTCCGCGCGTCGAAGACCAGAGCGACGCTCCTAGCGCCCAGCGCGCCGTCCGCGGCCGCGAGCACGTCCGGCAGCGCGGCCTCCAAAGCGTCGCCGGCCGCCGGCGCCGCGGGACAGGGCACGGCCTGCGTCGCCTCGACCTCCGCGAGCAGGAGGGCCCGCAGCGACCGCGCGCCGACGGCGAGCGCCGCGTCCCCGGCCACGGCCCCGTGGCAGAGCCGCAGCGCGCCGACCGCGTTCTCGCGCATGCGCGCCGAGAGCCACGGCGCGTCGTCGACGGCCAGCCGCCGCGCGGGCGCGAGGCGGCCCTCGCTGTCCGGCGCGAGCACGTCGCCGCCGACGGCGGCCTCGAGCTCGTCGACGGACTCGAAGCCGCTCGCCGCGATGAGCCCCACGAGCGCCGCGGCCGTCGCCGCGCGGCTCTCGCCGAGGGGCTCGCCGCCCGGGAAGCCCTCGCGGAGCGCCCGCGCAAAGTCCGCGGCGTCGAAGGCCTCGCGGACGCCGAGCGCGCGCAGCAGGGGCCCGTGGGCCGCCGCGAGCGCCGCCGGGCACTCGTGGAGGCAGTCGACGTCCGCGACCTCGGGCGCGGAGAACGCGACGCTCGCGCCCGCGGCCCATTTGTCGCCGAGCCAGAGCCAGGGCGCGGCCCGGAGGAGTGTTTCCGCGTGCTGGAACGCGCCTTCTCCCCTACTCAGGCCCCGCTCGGCCGCGAGGCGCCGGCCGAGCGCGCCGTAGAGCTGCGGCGTCCGCAGGCCCAGCGCGACGCCCCAGGCCGCGTCGCCGGGCCCCCGACCCGCGAGCGCGACGAGCTGCGCCGCGACGGCCGCCGGGGCCGCGTCGTCGCGCCAGCCGAGCGCCGCGAGCGCCGCCTCGCTCCGCGGCTCGTCCGCCTTGGCGACCAAACCGAGCGACGCGGAGCACGCCCAGGCGTCGTCGAGGGGCCGCGCTTCGTCCGGCGCGCAGAGCCAGGGCCCCGCCCAGGGCAAGAGCGCCTCCGCGTCGGGCGGAGCCTCGAGCGTGGGCACCCAGCGCTCGCGCCGCAGCGCCGCGACCCACGCCCGCCGGCCCGCGATCGGGCCGTCCGACTCGGAGCCGGAGTCGTCCGACGCGTCCGCGCCCTCGAGGCCCGCGCCCTCGAGGAGCGCCTCCGCGTGGCCGTCGAGGATCCGCAGCAGCGCGCGTCCCCGCGTCGCCGCGGACGCCTTGAGCGCCGCGTCGCCGGCGTCGTCGGCGTCCCGGGCGATGCGCGCGACGGACCGGGCCGACGCGAGCACGCCGACGTGGTCCAGACGCCGCCGGAGCCCTAGGCGCCGCAGGGACCGCATGGCCTCGGCGTCGCCGGCGACGGCCGGCGCGGGGAACCGGTCCGCGTCGAGGAGCTCCGGCAGCCCCGGCTCCGCCGGGTCGTAGAGCTCGCCCGCGCGCCGGCGCCCGGCGCCGTCGGCGCCGCAGGGCACGACGGCGCCGACGTCGCCGCCGTCGAGGAGCCGCGGCGCGCGGTGGCCGAGGTCGCGGAGGAACGCGACGGCGGCCGCCGGGTCGCCGGCGGCCGCGACGGCCGGCGCGGCCCGGGCGAAGAAGGCCTCGTCGTCGAGCCGCGGCCACTTGAGCGCGCGCAGCAGGTCCCGGGACCCGCGGTCCGACTCCTCGAGGACGTCGAGATCGGCCGCGGCGGCGTTGAGGAGCGCGGCGTCGACGCGCGGCGGCGGCAGCGCCGCGCCGGCCGCGAGCGCCGCGTGGCGGTGGGACCCCAACACCTTGAAGATCTTGGCCTCGGGGAGCCCGTCGAGCGCGCCGCCCGCCGCCGCGGCCTCGGCGAGCCAGTCGCGGAGCGCGCGCGGGTGCTCGTCGCCTGTGCCGAAACCAACCACTGGTTTGGGTGGTCCTGACCAAACTTGAGAATTCTCTAGCTCGGTCAAATCGAAGTCGATTCGGCTGATTTTTGGACGGATCGATCGCTCTCGTCGAGTTCTCGAAGCCCAGCCGAAGAGCTTGTGTCAAAACATTCGAATACGCTCACATTGAAGTCGGGTTGAAGATTTGGTTTCGGCACAGCTCGTCGCTCGGCCAGTCGACGTCGCCGGCGCGAGCGAGGACGCGCAGCACGCCCGGCGCCGTCGGGGGCGCTATCGCGGCCGCGAGCGGCGCCGCGAGGTCGGCGTTCGCGAGCACGTCGACGTCGACCTCGAGCGCGCCCGCGGCGAGTAAGGCGGCCCCCGCGGCGCCGAGGTCGTCGCGGCCCGCGACGAGGCGGCCGCCTTCGACGGGCGCGGGCGAGAAGAGCGGCGGCGCGTTGTCCGCGAGCCGCGCGAGCGTCGGCGCGCGACCCTCGCCGGCGACGCAGGGCGCGAGCGCGTGCGTCGCCGCGAGGGTTTTTTGCGCGTCGTTCGCCGCGAGCCACGCCCAGACGTCGCCGACCCAGGCCCGGGACCCCGCGCCCGCCGCCGGCGGGTCCCAGGCGACGACGTCGCCCGGCGGCGCGTCGAAGCGGGCCTTGGCGACGGCGCGGCCGACGGCCGCGGCGTCGGGCGGCGCCGCGCGCGTCGCGTCGCTCGTTTTCGGGAGCTTGGCCAGCAGCACGGGCGCGACGGCCGCGTGGGCCAGCACCCGGGGGACCACGGGCTCCAAAATTCGAAATTCCGGCGTCGCCGGGTCCGCGACGGAGACCACGGGCCCGTCGCCGCCCAAGAGCCCCAGGGACCCGTCCACCGTCAGATTGAAGGGCAGCGCGGCGACGTCGGCCGGCGCGTCGGCGAGCGCGTACGCGCAGAGCGCCGCGACGCCCTCGGGCGTCGCCAGGGACGCGCGCCGCTGGCCCGCGCGCGCGTGTCCCGCGGCGTAGGTCGCGCCGCTCTTCGCGTAGAACGCGCGGACGAATTTCGGCGAACACTCCGCGCCGACGCACTTGGACGCGACGAGCGCCGCGTGGAGCGCCGGCTCCAGCGCGACGACGGGGAGCCGCTCGAGGAGCAGCAGGTCGGCGATGGCCCCGTCCTCGGCCCGGGCCGCGACGCAGCGCTTGGGCTCGATCGCGCGGCCGCCGTCGAGGTCCGTCGTCAGCAAGGGGAGTTCGCGCGCCTCGTCGAAGACGGCCGCGCGGCACGCGTCCCAGCAGGGCCCCGCGCCCGCCTCCAGCGGCCACAGATCCGCACCCGCCGCCCCGAGCGCGAGGAGGAGGCGCGCGTACGCGACCGCGACGACGTCCCGCAGGAGCGCGACGTTCCACTCCGACTTGAGGCGGCCCGCGCCGGCCATGTCCTCGCCGTGCCACACGTCCCTCCGGTTCGACGAGAGCTCGAAGTAGCCGTTGACGTCCACGGGGAGGCCCGTGCGCACGGGCACGGGCAGGAACGTGTAGCACCGGCCGCCGCCGCGCGCGCCGAGCCGCGCGGCGACGCCGCCGAAGGGCACGAACTTGTGGCCCGCGTGCTCCGGCGCGCAGGCCATGGCCCGCGCCGCGCCGCCGCCGACGCAGCTCGACACGGCGTAGGCCTCGACGGCGACGGCGCCCCGCGCCTCGAAGGCGACGGTCACCTTCGCGAGGCGCCGCGGCAGCGACGCCTCGGGCGTCGCGAGGAGACGCGCGTAGAACTCGGCCTTCGTCGCGCCGCCGAGCGCCGCGAGCGGGTCGTCCGCCGACGCCCGCGGGTTTTCGCCCGCGAGGACGGCGGCGCCGTCGACGTCCGGCGACCCCAGCGGGTCCTCGCGCGCCGCGGCGCGGAACACGGTCTCGCTTTCGCCGCCGTCGCGCAGCACGGTCACGGTCACCGCGCGCACGTGCCTCAAGAACAGGAGCACCGACGTCGCCTGCGCCTTGAACTGCTCTAAGAGCGCCTCGGCCTCCTCGACGCCGTAGTGCTGCTTCGAGATCTCCGACGTCGCGGCCGCGGCGCGCGACCGCAGCGGCAGGCGGAAGAGCGTCCCTTCCAACGGCTTTTCGAGGTCGCAGCCGCAGTCGGCCCAGGAGGCGAACTGGTCCGGGAACGCGGCCGGCAGGTCCGCGCCGCCCGTGAACTTGACGCGGAGGCCCGGCCGCTGCGGCGTCGCGCCGGGCACGAGGCCGTCGGCGTGGGGGTCGAGGAAGAGGACGTGGTCGCCGGACGCGACCTGGGGCACGTCCGTCAGGTGGTAGACGCTGTTGAACCCGAGGCCGAAGCGGCCCGTCGTCTTGAAGTTCTCCAATTTCGAGCCCTGGCCGACGCGCACCAAATTCCGCCAGTCGCTCTCCGTAAAACCCGCGTCGTTGGACACGCAGAGCGCGGGGCCCTGCCAGGCCGCGAGCCCCGCCGAGAGCAGCGACTGGGCCCCGCGCGTCGCCGCGGACCGCGCGTCGAGCAACACGCGCACCTCCGACGCGCCCGCGTCGTCCGCGTTCTGGACGAGCTCGTTGAGGATGCCCGACCCCTCGGGGTAGAGCTGCAGGATGTGCGCGAGGCGCCGCGTCAGCGATTCCCGTTGCCCGAAGGCCTCGGTTTCCACGTTGTCCCCGAAGATCGACGCCTTTTCCGCGCCCGCCGCGAGCCCGCGGTCCAGGAGCGCGCGCCGCAGGGACCGCGCGCCGAGCTTCTTCGCGTGGGCCGCGGCGACCGTCGGGTGCGTCACCCGGAAGTCGGCCTTGGCGTCGCGGAGCCACGGCGCGTCGTCGAAGACCAGCTCGCGGCACGGCCGCAGCGCGCCGGCCTCGTCGGGCGCCACGACGTCCATGTCGACACACTTCTCCGCCGTCAGGGACGCGTCGGCGCCCAGCGCGAAGACGAGGCGCAGCGCGAGGTCGAGGTCGTCCTGGGCCAGGGGCGCGCCGTCGGGTTGCTTCAGCCTCTGGAGCACGCCCGCGTAGTCCGCGGGGCCGAAGCGTTTTCGCACGCCGACGGCCTCCAAAAAGTGGCGGAAGCAGGCGAGGTCCGGGGGCACGCGGTGCAGGTAGGGCGCCGTCGCGACGTCGCCGCCGGCGAAGGCGACGTCGTCGGGCCGCGCGAAGCGCGTCGCGCCCGCGGCGACGTAGACGGAGGGGCATCCGTCGCCCAGGCCCGCCAAGATCGCCGCCGTCGACGCGGCGTCCGTGCGGATGGACGCGTCGAGCACGCCGTAGAGCCGCGGCACGAGCGCGGCGAGCGCGGCGCCGTCGGAGTGCTCCGCGGCGGCGACGGCCGCGAGCTGCCGCGCGACGGTGTCCACTCCGACGGGCGCGTCCCAGCCGAAGGCGCGCCGCAGCAGCGCGTGCCGCGCGTCGCCGCACGCCGCGGCGTCGACGAGGGGCGTCGTCGCCGAGCAGGCCCACGCGTCGCGGTACGGCCGCGCGGCGGACGGCGCCGCGAGCGCCGGCGGATCCGCGAGCCAGGGCAGGCGCGCCGCGTCGTCTTCGGGGCCCCGCGGCCGCGCCGGCCGCGTCGCGGGCGCGTCCAGCGCCTCGACGGCGTCGTCCGCCGGCGCGGCGGGCTCGTCCGCGGCCTCGGGCGCCTCTACGGGCGGCGGCCCGGCCGCGACGGGCAGCCACCGGAGCGCCGCGAGCCGCGAGGCATTCTGCGCGCGGTCGAGGCGCGCGCGCGCGCGCGCGGCCTCGGCCGCGGCGGCGTCGGCGTCGCCCTTGGCGTCGCCGCCGCCGAAGACGCGGCCGAACCAGTGGTCCGGCTTCTTCGCCGCGCGCGCGGGCGGGCCGTCGCCGAGGAGCGCGTCCGCGCGCGCGTCCAACGCCCCCAGAAGCCTCGCGCCCGTCGCCGCGTCGCCCGACGCCTCGACGGCCGCCGCGCAGGCGAGCACCGCCGGCCAGTCCAGGTCGCGCCGCAGGCCCAGGCCCCGGAGCGCGGCGAGCGCGTCGTCCTCGTCGCCGTGGAACGCCGGCAGCAGCGCGTCCGGCAGCAGGTCCCCGAGCGCCGCGCCGCCGTCGACGGCGCGGTCGAAGTCGTAGAGGTCGCGCGGCCGCGCGACGCCGCCCGCGCGCGTCGGCACGCGGAGGCGGTCCCGGAGCGTATTCCGGAGCTTCGCGTCCGCGAGGCCGTCGCGGAGCACGGCGACGAGCAGGTCCCGCGGCGGGTCGTCGGCCGCGAGGAGCGGCGCGACGCGCTCCAGAAAAAAGGCCGCGCGGTCCAGGGGCGCGCGGCCGAGTTGGGCCGCGTAGGCGCGCTCCGCGTCGCTTTCGAGGACGACGACGGTTCCGTCGAGCGCGGCCGCGTAGCAACCGTCGGGCGCCCAGCCCAACACGACGGCGCCTTCTAAACCGCCGAGGGCGCCGCCGAAGCGCGGCCAGATGGCCAGGCGCCGCGCGGTTTGCGCGGCGTCCGCGTCGTCCGCCGCGTGGCGCCGCTCCGCGAGGAACGCGCGCGCCGCGGCCGCGTCGCCCGCGGCGACGCCGCGCGGCGCCGCGCGCAGGGCCGCGAGCGCGCCGCGCCGCGTCGACGCGTCGTGGACGTAGGAGAAGAGCGCGTGGCCCGGGTCGTGGAGTTCGAGGCACGCGTGCGCGCGGACGCAGCCCGCCCGCGTCAAAACTTCGACGAACCCGGCGACGCCGCGCGCGACGACGGGGTTCCCCTTGGCCAGCGTGCAGGCGACGCCGTCGGCCGTGGGCAGCACCGGCAGGTCCTCGCCGAGGGCCGCGAGCGTCGCCTGGGCGTCGCCGCCCCGGAGCGCCAGCGTCCAGAACGCCGCGTACCACGGCGCCGTCGGCCGCCCGGCGGCGTCGAGGAACGTCGACTCGGCCGCCGGGGCCGCGTCGGCGTCCCAGGGCGTCGCCCAGCCGTCGCCTTTGGCGAGGCAGAGCCGCGCGACGTCCGGCGCGAGCTCCGGCGATATCCCGACGCCGTTGAGTCGGGCGAGGAGCGGCTCCGGGAAGTTTTCCGGGCACGCGGCTATGTCCGCGGCGGTCCGCGGCGGCAGGAGGGGCAGGTCCCGCGCCTCGGGCGCAAAGTAGGCCGGGAAGGCCGGCGGTTCGCCGGAGAGGAGCGCCGCGACCGCGCCGTCTTCTTCTCCTTTCGACGCCCGGACCGCGGAGCGCACCGCGGCGGGCGAGAAGCCCATGGCCTCGAGGTGGGGGCGCGACGGCGGCAGCGCCGCGAGCACACCGAAGCCGCCGCCGTTGAGCGGCAGGAGGCGGCAGCCGTCGAGCGCGGCCCAGTCGTCTCCCAGGTGCCGGCACGCGTAGCGGAGCAACGCTAGACCGCTCTCCCGGTCCCGCGGCGCGTCGCCGCCGGCGAGCGCCTCGCAGAAGCCCCGCGCCGTCACAACGCGGACGACGCCGCGGCCCTCGGGGGACGCGGCCGTCGCGGGCGCGAGCGCCGCGAGCACGCCGTCGGCCGCGGCGACGACGGCGACGCCGCGGTCCGCGAGCGCGGCGACGACCGCGTCGCGCTCGGGTCGGTCCGCGGGCACGCCGGGGCCGTCGCCGAAGGCGCCCGCGGGCGGCGGCACGACGATGGCGTCGGCCGGCGCGACGATCTTCCCGGTGGCCGTCCGGAGGCAACACCGGTTCGTATCGCGGACGTCGGCGAGCGCCGCGGCGCCTAAAACGCGCCAGAGCGCCGCGTCGGGCGCGCGCGACCGCTTGAAGAAGGTCGCGTCGGGCCAGAGCGCGCCCGCGCCCGGCGAGTTCGCCGCGGCCTCGAGCGCGCGACCGAGGCACGGCGCCGCGACGTCCGCTAAAAGCGCGGCGTTCCAGGCGCCTGTGTGGAAACCAAATCTTCAACCCGACTTCAATGTGATCGTATGCGGCCGTTTCGACGCGAGCTCTTCTGCCGTCCTTCGAGAACTCGACAAGAGCAATCGATTCGTCCAAAAATCAGCCGAATCGACTTCGATTTGACCGAGCTCGAGAGTTCTGAAGTTTGGTTGGGATAACCAGCTCACTGTTTGATTTCCACACAGCCAGGCGCCGCGCGCGTCCGCGGCGCCGCCGCGCTCGTCCTCGGCGCCGGCGGCCCAGAGGTCGCGGCGGTTGCTGCTGAGCTCGAAGAAGCCGTTGACGTGCACGTTCTTCAGCCCCGTCTTCCGCGGCAGCGGCAGGAAGCAGTAGGCGCGGCCGTCGAAGGGTTTCGCGACGTCGGGCCGCGCGGCGACGGCGGCCCAGGGCAGGAGCTTGTCGCCGCGCGCCGCGGCGCGCGCCGCGAGGACGGACGCGGTCTTGCCGCCCATCTGGCCCCGGACGACCCACGACTGACGGTCCGATCCGTCGGCGATGTCGAGCGCGAAATCCGCCGTCGCCGGCGCGGGGCCCCGGAGCGGCGCGGCCCGCAGGTGCCGGAGCTGCGGGGTGACGTCGCGGATCGCGGCCTCGTGGACGAGCTCGGGCTTCGCGGCGCCGGGCGCCCACTTGTAGACGGCGACGCGCTCGACGGCCTTCAAAAAAAGCAGCATCTCCGCGGCCTGGGCCGCGACGTCGCCGAGGAGCGGCGCGAGGGACGCGGCCGTGTGGTGCCGGTCGCTCAGTTTCGAGGTTTTGGCTTGCTCCTCCGTGCGCAGGGGCAGGCGGAACAGCGTGCCCGCGTAGCTTTCGCCGCCCGTCCAGCCGAAGGCGCCGTCGAACCCGGCGAACATGTCCGCGGAGCTCCGGAGCACGTCCGGGTTTTTCAATATGTCGACCATCTTGCCCGGGTTGCGCGGGTCGACGTCCGGGAGGAACGCGCACTGCGGGTCGAACCAGACGACCTTGGAACCCGACGCGAAGCTCGGCACCTCCGTCAAGTGGTAGACGCTGTTGAAGCCGATGCCGAAGCGGCCCGTTTTTGTAGTGTCGCTCCGCTTCACGGAGTCGCCGAGGCGCTGGATGCTCGCGAAGTCGGCCTCCCGGAAGAGAGCGTCGTTGTAGCAGAGCAGCGCGGGGCCCTGGAGCTCTTCCGCCGCGGCGCTCGCGCAGGACCGGGCCGCGTGGCGCCGCGCGTCGACGCAGATGGCGACGGTGCGCGCGCCGGCGTCGTCGGCGTTCTGGACGAGCTCCTTGACGATGGACGTGCCCTCCGGGTAGTTGCGCAGGATCTCGCGGATGCGCACGGCGAGGTCGATGCGCTGGCCGAAGTCGTCGCCGAAGGACCGGCTCATGGTCGCGGCGGCCGCGGCGCGTTGCAGCGCTGCCGACGCTGCCGGAGAGCGGCTGGTCGGCGCGCAGCGCTGCCAACACTGCCGCAGGCGGCCGCAGGCACCGGAGAGCTCGATGATGAGCTGCGGAGATGCTGGTCGTAACTCTAGACGCGGGAACCGTCCGCGCGCGCGCCGCGCCGCGCCGCGGACGCGGCCGTAGGGGAGCGGCATGGAAGCATCGCCGTGCGATGACGGCGCGGAGCGCGGCCATAGTGCGATGCTGCTCCACGGCGACGGGCGTCCGACTCGGACGCGCCGCAGCCCGGCCCCGCCGCCGCGCGGTCGTCGCGTGCGAGGCCCTAAGGCCTCTCCAAATGTATAATGCGCTCCAGGAGGTCGGCGACGAGTGTTCCGAGGGTTTCAACACGCAATTCTAGATCAGTAGGTTGAGGTGGTAGGACATCTTGAGCATCTGGAACAGGTTCCAACGCAGCTGTAGGTGGATAAAGAAGCTGGACCTGCGTGGTCGGTTTGCATCAGTGGGAGGGCGGCCTTCGGCTTGATGCCGTCGTGCTTATTCGCATTACTAGCAATTAGACCTGCGAAATCTTCTGAATTATAGTTCGTGCACTTTTGGAGCGACCTTTGCCTTTGCCTTTACCTTTGCCTTAGCTTTGGAAGGGGCCGAGGTTATAACAGCAGCCATTACCAGCCCCAAGAGCAGCATCAACAGCAGATTGTCAGACTAGACAACAACAATAGAGACTTTGACAACAGACTCTCGGCGACAATGCTCCGCCGACGATGCGCTCATGCTGTGCCGGCCGCCGCATGCGTATTCGCCGGCTGGGGCGCGCAGTGCCATCCGGAAGTATGTCGCGCGCACGGCGCGGGCGCGCGCGTGGCGGCGATGCCCTCGCACCCGTCGCCGACGCGCATCGCAGGCCGTCGCGACGGACGCGGGCGCGCCGCGCGCGCCAGAAAGGCGCCGAAGCCGGTGTTGACGACAAGGAGAGCGTCTCGCCATCTTCTCGCCGTCACACCGATGGCGTCTCAGCTAGACGTCTCGCCGCCGTCACACACGATGGCGTCCCAGCTCGACATGCACCGCGGCCTGGAGGTGGACCGGCTGACGTTCAGCTACACGGTGGACATGGAGCGCGAGGTCATCCTCGACGTGCCCGTCGCGGCGCTGCGCCAGGTCGGGTTCCGCCTGCCGGCGGCCTGCCGCTGCGTCGTCGCCGGCGGCAACGGCGCGGGCAAGTCGACGCTGCTGAGGCTGCTCGCCGGGCGCCACACGCCGGAGAGCGGGTCGGCGACCTTCGGCGGGGACGCCGCCGGGTCGACGGCGCTCAACGGCCGCGTCGCGTACGTCGCCGCGGAAGGTGCCTGGGGCGTCGAGAACGCGAATTTAGAAGTCGGCACGCTCCTCGACGGCGCGGCGGCGCGCGCGGGCGGCGGGCCGCGCCTCGACGCCCTGGCCGCGGCTTTACGGGTGGACGACCGGCTCCGGAGCCGGGGCACGCGGGAGCTGAGCGACGGCGAGCGGCGGAAGGTCCAGCTCTTCGTCGCTCTGGCGCCCGAGGGCCTCGAGCTCGTGCTCCTCGACGAGGCCTGCGTGGATTTGGACGCCCTCGTGCGCGACGATTTGATGGCCTACCTCGAAGCGCAGCGCTACGCGGTGCTCTACGCGACGCACGTCTTCGACGGCCTGGACGACTGGCCGACGCACGTCCTCGACGTGCGCAAGGGCGCCGTCGCCGCGACGCTGCCCTGGGCGGCGCCGGGCGAGGGCGGCCGCCTCTTCGAGCTCTGCCGGGGCTGGCTCCTCGAGGACGCGGGCGACGGCGTCCCGCCGCCGCGGGACGCGCCGCCGCTCGGAGAGCCGGCGCTTCGCCTCCGAGACGTCACGTGGCGCTACGACCCGCGCGCGGCGCCCGCGCTCCGGGACGCCGCGCTGACGCTGCCGAGCGGCTGCCGCGCCGTCGTCGCAGGCGCCAACGGCGCGGGCAAGTCGACGCTGCTGAGCCTCGTCGCCGGCGCGCGCCTGTTTTGTAGCCGACCCGAATCCGCGGTTTTGGAGGTGCTGGGCCGCGACCCGTCGACGGCGAACCTGCGCGACGCGGCGGCGAGCCCGCGCGTCGCCTACCTCGGCGGCGCCTTCAAGCGGAATCTGGAGAGCGGCGCCGTGCCTCCCCGGGCCTGCGAGGGCACGTTCGCGTCTCTCCTCGCGTCGTCGCTCCGCGACCTCGCGAAGCGCGGCGGCGACGCGGCGGCGCTCGCGGGCCGCGCGGGCGCCCTCGCGGCGGCGCTCGGCGTCGACGGCGCCTGGCGGCCGTCGAAGGCGAGCTCGGGGCAGCGCACGCGCATGCAGCTCGTGCTGCAGCTCACGCAGGCGGCGGATCTCTACGTCGTGGACGAGCTGACGCGGGACCTCGACGTCGTCGCGCGCCAGCGCGTGCTCGACTGGCTCGCGGACGAGCCCGGGTCCGTGATCTACGCGACGCACGTCTTCCAGGGTTTAGGGGAGTGGGGCACGCACGTCGTCCGCGTCGCTTCCGGCGAGGTCAAGGGGTCCGCGACGACGGACGCGCTGCTCCGGGGGGCGTCGGCGCACGGCCGCGCGCGCCTCGCGCTCTACGACGTCGTCAAGGCCTGGCTCGTCGAGGACGCGCCGCCCCTCGCGCGCGCGGGCGCCGCGGCGCCGGCCGCGGCGGCCGCGCCGGCGGACGACGCCGCGCCGGCGCCGGCGCCGGCGGGCGGCGCGGCGCGGCTCCCCGCGGGCTGGCACGACCGCCGCGGCAACGCGCTCGAGGGGGGCTACGGGTCCCACGCGTGGTCCGCGAAGGCGGCGCACGGCGAGTTCGCGGACGCGCACTCGACGCAGCACGAGGCCTTCGCGGACCTCTACATGGCCGTGGACCCGGGCCAGCGCGGCGCGCCCGGCGCGGCCCACCACATCAAGCCCGCGCGCTAGGAGACGCTGTGTGGCAGTGAGTGATTTAAACTTCAGCATCTCTTTCATCGAAGACCTCAATTCACAGCGCCGGAGAGCGCTCTCAGTCCTCCTGCCGCTCCTTCTGCCGAGGATTGCTCGCAGGATTCGCTGTCTCAACGCGCCGCTGCCGACATGTCGCGTCAATTGCTCTCGTTGCTCTCGCTCGCCGCCGTGCACGGCTTCGCGCCCGCCAAAACGCCGTTTGCGCTGGGCCGCGCCGGGGTTCGCTACGCTGGCGTCGGCGACGACGAGATCTTCGCCGCAGCGAGCGCCTGCCTCGACGAGGAGTGCTCGGTGGACACCGCGCGGACTCCCGCGTCCGCCGCGCGACCTCGGACGACGACGTCTCGCGGGCGCGGTCCGCCGCGCGCCGACGCGCGCCCGTCGATCGCGCGAGCGCTGACGGGAATACACGCGCAGGTCGACGTGTTGCTCGCGGCGCTCCGGACCCGGGAGCAGGCGCTCGCGACGACCGGCGTCGGCGCGCCGCGCGCCCGCGTCGCCCGACGCGCGCGCCGTCGCAGGCGAAGCCGGGCCGCGCCGTCGACTACGAGCTCATGGAAACGCTCACGGACGTGCGAATGATGATCTCGGACCTCGAGGGCCTGAGCGACCCCAACCCCTTCAACCCCTTCATCCTCGCGATCAAGTCGGCCTTCGACGTCAAGCGCAAGGGGCTCTACGCGGCGAGTCCGACGGCCGAGGAGGACTACGCCGCGTCGCGGTAGCTACGCCGACGTGGCCGCGGAGCCGGGCCGGCGGCCCGACGCGGCCCACGACATCGAGCCCGCGCCGTGCAGCGGCGAGCCCGCGGGTGGGCCATTGTAATTACGATATTCTAGGGCTACGCTGGCGCGCCCAGGCCAAAGTGCGATTTGGCGATTCAGAATTTTGATCAGCCTCCTGCCACTGAGAGCTTCGGATCTCAAATCTTCTCACAAGCATCTCGTGCGCCCTCTGTTGGATTGCTCGTCAACGCGCCGCCTCACAGGTACGACCGTCATGTCCCGTCTCGTGCTCTCGTTGCTCTCGCTCGCCGCCGTGCATGGCTTCACGCCCGCCAAAACGCCCTTTGCGCTGGGCCGTGCCGGGGTCCTCTACTTTGAAGGCGTCGGCAACGACGAAGTCTACGCGGCCGCGAGCGCGTGCCTGGACGAGGAATGCTCGGTGGACACCGCGGACTCCCGCGTCCGCCGCGCGACCTCGCCCGCGCCGACGCGCGCCCGTCGATATCGCGAGCGTTCGCGCAGGTGGACACGCTCCTCGCGGCGCTCCGGACTCGGGAGCAGGAGCTCGCGAAGACCGGCCGCATCGTCGACTACGAGCGCGACGCGACGCTCACGGGCGTGCGCAAGATGATCTCGGACCTCGAGGGCCCGAGCGACCCCAACCCCTTCATCCTCGCGATCAGGGCCGCCTTCGACGTGAAGCGCAAGGGGCTCTACGCGACGAGTCCTACGGCCTGAGCGGATTACGGTCCGGCGCCTCCGCGCCTTCGCCCGCCGCGCCTACGCCCGCGCCACGCCTGGTAAGCTCCCCTAGGCGACGCCTCGTTTCGTGGACCCGAGGTCCCCGAGGGAGAGGGACCGGCCGAGGTGCGTGGCCGCGAGGCCGTCGTAGGGGCTCTGCGGCGGCCCCGGCGGCGACGCCGACGTCGCGTAGCCGAGGATCTCCGCCCGGAGGTTGAGCGTGTCGCCCGCGGCGCGGAGCTCGAGGTCGCCGTCGACGCGGCGGCTCCGCTCCGCCTCGGCGCCGTCGCCCGCGGCGACGGCGATGCGCTCGAGGCGCTCGAGGTCGAGGCCGAGGAGGTGGACGCGCTCCACGAGCCCCCGCGGCGCGCCGTCGTCCTCGACGACGACGACGTAGGCCAGCTGGAGCTTGCGGACGAGGGGCACGCAGAGGCCCACGGGGAAGTCCGCGCGGACCGCGTAGGGCGCCCTGTCCGCGAGCGCGAGCACGTCGACGTCGCCCCGCGGCCCCTCCGCGCGCGCGGGCCGCGCGGGCGCGTCGCCGCGCGCGGCGTCGAGGTCGAGCTCGCCGTCGGGCGTCGCCGGCGCGCCGTCCGCGCCGAAGAGGCGCCGCCGGGGCAGCGCGTCCCGCGGCGACGCGTCGCCGCCGGCGAAGGGCGACCGCGCGAAGGGCGACGGCATCGTCGCGATGCGCTCCCGGCCTCGGCGCACGCTGTCGACGACGTCGCCGCGTTTCCGCTCCGCGCGGCCGAGCGCCGCGGCGAGGGCCTGGCGCGACGCGACGCCCGCGTGCCGCCCGCGGCCGTCGACGACGAGGTGGTAGAGCCGCTCGGCTTCGACGGCCGCCGCGACGGCGGCCGCGGGCTCGCGGGCCCGGAGCCGCGGGCCGTTCGCGTCGCAGACGGCGGCCACGGGCAGCGCCGCCGTCGCCTCGGGCACGGCGTCCTCGAGGTAGGGCACGCGGCGCAGGTGGAGCAGCACGTCGTCGTAGGACGCGGGCGCGAGCGCCGCCGACGCGCCGGAGCCGACGAGCGACGCCGCGAGCACGGGCACCGCGGCGCCGACGTCGCCCGTGGCCTCCACGAGCAGCACGGCGACGGTCAAGGCGAGGCGCGTGTAGCCGCCGAGCATCGCCGCGGCGCCGACGAGCGCGAAGAGGCCGCCGCCGGAGATGCCGCCGACGAGCTCGCCCGCGGCGTCGCCTATAAGCCTCCCGACGGCCGCGCCCAACAGCATGTTCGGCACCTGTGTGGAAATCAAATCTTCAACCCGACTTCAATTTGCGCGTATGCGACCATTTCGACGCAAGCTCTTCGACTGTATTTTAAGAACTCGATGAGAGCAATCGATTCGTCCAAAAATCAGCCGAATCGACTTCGATTTGACCGAGATAGAGAGTTCTGAAGTTTGGTCAGGACCCCCTGAACCAGTGGTTGATTTCCACACAGTTCGGCACGAAGGTGCCGATGGGGATGGACAGCCCCGCGATGGCGCTGAAGCAGAGGAAGTAGGCGGCGACGAAGACGCCGAGCGACGCGCCGGAGAACGGTTTCGCGACGTCGCGCGCGAGCAGCGCCTTGATCGCGCCCTCCTCGCCGACGAGCGTCAGCGACGCGAGGTCGTTGTAGCGGCCCGCGCCGCAGTCGTAGGCGCGGTAGTGGCGCTCCCCGCCCGCAAGGCGCCGGCGGTGGCCGTCGTCGCGGGCCCGGCAGGCGCCGAGCTTCGGCAGCAGGAAGAAGGCGACGCCGATGACGACGCAGACGGCGACGGCCTCGGCGAACTTCGCGAACCGGGGCCCGCGCCACGCCGCGCGGCGCCGCAGGCGCTGCGCGAGGAGCATGACGCGCGTGAGCAGCGCGGACGCGGCGCCCGCGGCGAGGGCGACGACGAGGACCACGGGCATGTCGCGCCAGACCCAGCGCGCGCCGGCGACGGACGCGGCCTCGTCGAAGATGACGAGCGACTGGAAGCGCATGGACCCGCCGTGGAGCGCCTGGGACAGGTACTTCTGCGCCGCGACGGCCACGGTCGTCGACAGGCACGCGTAGAACGTCTTCTCGTGGTCCCAGTAGCTCGAGATCTCCTCGAAGACGTAGAGCACGCCGCCGACGGGCGCGTTGAACGCCGTCGCGATGCCCGCGGCGCCGCCGAGCGTCGCGTAGAGCCGCTTGCGGTCGTTCTCGCGCTCCGAGTCGTCGCGGAGGACGAGGCGCCAGGCCCAGGTCCCGACGCAGCCGCCGAGGTAGGCCGCGGGGCCCTCGCGGCCCACGGGGAGGCCCGAGCCGATGACGAGCGCGATCGCGACGTACTTGACGACGAACGTCCTCAGCTGCCAGAGCCCCGGGATCCGCGACCCGTTGAGGAAGCCCTTGAGCTCGCTGAGGCCGCTGCCCTGGGCCGCGGGCGCGACGTACGCGACGAGGAACGCGGCCGCGCCCGCGAGCGCCGCGTCGATTAAAACGAGGCGCCCGAGCGCGGCGCGGAAGTCGCCGCGGTCCTCGTGCTCCTTGATGGCGTAGTTCGTCCGCAGCTGGAAGAGGGCGCCGATGACGGACACGAGGCCCGAGTTCATCAGCGCGACGGCGCACCCGAGGACGACGCACCGCAGGATGCGCCGGGCGCGGGCCCGCGCCGACCACGTCGTCGTCCACGACGCGTCCATCGTCGAGTCGCCGCCCGACGCCGTGTCCCGTGTCCGCTCCCGTTCGCGGCGTTCGACGCCGTGTCCCGTGTCCGCTCCCCCGGCGTTCGTCGCCTGTCCGTCGCCGGCGCGGCCAAGGGCGACGACGACGGCGCGCGACCAGGGCAGGAAAAGGGCGCGACGAGTGCGAGAGAAGAGAATGAGAAACGCGCACTCGCTTCTCTCTCGCTCTCTTTTGGTCCGCTCTCGGCAATCACCCGCACTTTTCTCGCTCTCGCACTCTTGTCGGCGACGTACTTCCTTCTCTCGCACCCGTCTCGCAAGGGACGCTCTCGCACTCGCACTCGGAGGTCGCACTCGTTAGTAAAACGCGTCTTTTTGCGCGTTTCTGACGCGTGGGCGTGGGTGGGGGGCGGATGGGTCGCTCGTTGCGGACGGGCTCACTCCTCGCGGAGCAATCGTCGAAGGCGTCCGGCTGGTCGGTCGGCCGGGGGTTACTACCTCTGCTCTCGTCTCTTCTCTCGCTCTCGGAGGCCTCGCTCTCGGCAATCACCCGCGCTTCTTTCGCTCTCGCACTCGGGCGCCCCGGCCGCACTCGTCTCTCGGATTTTCGCCAATTTAGCACGAGAGAAGGGTGGCTCTCGTGCCCTTTTCCTGCCCTGCGCGCGACGCTCGATCAAGCGTTTTGGGGAAACTGCCGCTGGCGCGCATTTTTGGCGAAGGTCAGGTATCCGGTGAGAGCCTCGTAAGGCGGCGTCCTATGCGCTCTTAAAAGTCGAGGAGCCGCGCGTGGTCCGGCGCGCGCGCGGCGACGAAGAGGCGCGCGGCCGCGTCGCCCGCGAGGCGGCGCACGAGTTCCGGCGGCGCGCGTTTCGCGAGCGCCGCGAGGACGCGGCGGTAGGCCGCGCGCGCGGCGCGCGCGCCCGGGAGCGGCCGGCGGCGGCCGAGGCGCTCGAGCGCGAGGGGCTCCCAGGCGTCGACCATGGACTCGTCGTCGAGGCCGCAGCGCGCGAGCGCGCCGCGGAAGAGGAACGCGATGCGGATCAACGGGAACGCCTCCGGCGAGTTCCGCACGAAGCCGTCGCGCGCTAGCAGGCTCCGGTCGACGTCGTAGAGGTTCACGCCCGCGAGGGGCGTCCACCGCGTGTCGAAGTAGGTGTAGGAGACGAGCGCCCAGACCGCGGGCGACGGGTTCGCGAGCTCGTAGTCGCCCGACGCCTCGATGGCGGCGACGAGCGCGGCCACGTCGCCGCGCGCCATGGCCGCGGCGCATTTCGCGCACGTGTCGAGCCGCGCGGCGTCGAGCCGCTTCGTCTGGCCCCAGTCGATGACGGCGACGCGGCCGTCGTCGAGGAGCACGAGGTTCCCCGGGTGCGGGTCCGTGTGGAACTCGCCGGCCTTGAAGATCTGGACGCCCCAGCACTCGAAGAGCGCGCCGTAAAAACCCGCCCAGGACCCGAAGACGCGCCGCTGCGCCTCCGGCAACGTTCCCGTCGGGAGGACGTCCTGGAGCTTCGGGCCGGCGAGCCACTCCATGACGAGGACGCGTGTGGCGCACAGCTCGCGCACGGGCGCCGGCGTCGCGACGCGGTTTGCGAGCCCGGCGTCGGCGAACAACGTCGAAAATCGGTCGATCTTCGCGAGCTCGAGCCGGAAGTCGAACTCCTCGGGGACGATGTCCCGGTAGGCCCGCATGATGCTCGGCAGGTCGAGGCCGCCGTCGAGGCCCCAGCGCTTCAGCACCTCGCACTGGCGCAGCATCGCGTCGACGTCGCCGAGGATCGCTTCGTCGCGGCCGAGGCCGACCTTGACGGCGACGGCGCGGCCGTCGGGGAGCGTCGCCCGGTGGACCTGCGCGACGGACGCCGTCGCCGCGGGCTCGTCGTCGAAGGTCGCGAAGGCGTCGCCGATGCGCCGCCCGAGCTCGCGCTCGACGGTCCGCCGCGCGACGCGAGCCGGCGCCGGCGCGTTCGCCTCCATGGTCTCGGCGAGCGCGTCGACCCACGCTTCCGGCATCATCTGCGCGGCCGCGCCCGTGATCTGGCCGACCTTGAGGTAGAAGCCCCCCATGTCGCGGACGAGGCGCCGCGCGCGCTCCGCGGCCCAGGCGTGCTGCGCGTCCCAGACGGCGTCGCGGTCCTCCGGCGCCGCGCGCGCCGCGCGCCGCCGGCAGGCGACGTAGCTCGCGGCGATGGGGACGATCTTGCCCGACGCCGCGAGCGACCGGTGCGCGCGCGGCGCCGACAGGCGCAGCGCGGCCGACGCGCACCGCAGGTAGAGCGCCGCGGCCGCGGCGACGCGCGCCGCGCGCCGGCCCGGCGCCGCGGCGGCCCACGCGGCGGCCGCGGCCGC